TATATATATATATATATATATATATTTTTTTTTTTCAAAAGTAAAAGAACATCTTTTCAAAGATCTTATTTTAATTCAACAAAAAGAACGTCAGTCCGCTTTCATGAACAACTACATAAATCTGAGAATAGTCACGATTGAGAGGCTGAAATTCTGAGGTTTTGGGCAATTTTACAAAAGTAAAAGTCGTGCCTTTGCATTGACATCAGCTGTTTTTGCATTTGTTAACCGCTACTATTGCCTCATTTGCAGAAGTTTTGCTTGATTTTCACATGGAACAAATTTTGGATAGAGAAGGTACTATCACAAACAAAGACAGACTTTTTTTTTTCTGATCCGCTTTATCCTCACAAGGGTCGCAGGGGGTGCCGGAGCCTATCCCAGCTGTCTTCGGGCTGTAGGCGGGGGACACCCTCAACTGGTTGGCAGCTAATCATATAGACGAACAACCATCCGCACTCACACTCATACCTAGGGACAATTTCGAGTGTTCAATCAGCCTGCCATGCATGTTTTTTGGAATGTGGGAGAAAACCGGAGAACACAGAGAAAACCCAAGAAGGCACGGTGAGAACGTGCAAACTCCGCACAGGAAGGCTGGAGCCGTGATCGAACCCACGACCTCTGCACTGTGAGGTCGACACGCTAACCACTCGACCACCGGGCCGCAAAGATAGACCATTTGTCGTAAATAAACAATCTTCAGAACAATTCAGTGAAAGCGGATCATTTTCCATGGCACACCTGAGGATCTTTCAAAGCGTGCTAATGTGCCAGGGCACACTAATTGGGAATTTTAAAAAATTGAATCTACAGACTCGTAATGCCGAGTAAAACAAAGTACATACAGAGACATGCACAACAAACTCTACAATGTGACATCAAGCTAACAAAGCTTGATCGTGAAATGTTCCTGACCGGACTTCCAAGTCACCTACGTGCGACCGATTAAGCACTGAAATTGAATTCGGTCCTGAGCGGAAAACAGAGGAGTGAAAAATCAGGCGAGACCCATCAAAGAATTTGGGGAATATTTGATTGCAGGTTGAAAACGGAACGAGTGGATGATACACAGACGGAGAAGACTTACATTTTTGGACTTCCCTCTCATCTGACCTGCACAGCTTGCATTTGATACACTCTGTCGTCTCCGAGTCAATAACGAAGGTGTAGTAGCCGTCCTCGCAGTGGCACCGAGTGTTTTGATGCCGTTGGCATTTGGATACTTCCACTTCATGCTTCTTCTCTGCAGAGACACAAACTCCCTCAAATGAGTGTTCAATCGGAATTCAGCACACCGGTAGTATACATAAAAAAAAAATAATAATAAATTATATATATACACACACACACACACACACACACACACACACACACACACACACACACACACACAGTACATAGACCGTAATCTGGATCTCAAGGATATCATGGAATCAATGCGGCAGCAGCTTTCCATACGTGCCAGCGTCCGTTCATGCTGATTGTGAAACGGTTGCGTTACGCTTTAAAGAGACGTAGAGGATGGGAAAGTGTCCTTACTGTTGCAGGATTTGCATTGCATGCATTTGGGGGAGTAGTTCATTTGCTCCATAAACTGGCCAGTCGGACACGGCGTGCAGTTACTCCTCATCCCCTCGGCAAGGCACTTTTCCACGAGTTTGAAACCTGTACAACAGAAGCAATCGTTGAGATTGGGACAACGCTATTCATCACAGTGCGTGCGATTCCTTTGTGACTCGTCAAAAGTATTTCAAAATCGTGACAAATCGAACCGTTCTCTCAGCACCAAAGCCTTGTGGGAGTGTCTGCCCAATGCTCCGAAACCACGCCCCAATCAACTGTTCATCAAATTCTACTACTACAACAAACACATGAGCACATGTCAGAACCATGAAATGATCTCACTGGCTGAAATAAATAGCACCGGGTCATTGTGGTGCTTTTATAGAGCGCAGCAATAAGGCGCTCTATAGCAGCCACAACAGCCCCAGACTAAAGTCTGCCGCACTGTCGTATGGTGTTCCGCAAGGTTCAATTTTGGGGGCCTCGCTGTTTTCATTGACCTTCAATGAAAAAGGAAACAGAAGTGATGGTGTTTGGTGTGCATCTGTGGTTGTTTTTAAAGTGCTCTATAATAAAGCTGAGATGACTTGAGATTTCCTCACGTCAACGTTTTTGAGTGAGGATTTTAATCCAAGACTGCGATAATAAAACGGTACTCTTCTTAGACTATCAAAGAAAAAAAATGGTGAGTGCGAAAACTGTTCCCGTGTAGTCGACACCAACTTACCCGGTGGACATTTGTTGCAACAAATTCCATTTTCAAGATAGTCTCCGTCCGGACACGTCTTCTCGTTGGGGGTGGCAATCAGCGCCAACGTGGGAGTTAACAGGCACTGTGAGACAAAGTAGACACTGCTGGTGAGACCACATTCTGTTGCGCTTCATCTCCTCTGTATGAAAATGCAAAAAGTGTGACTTGTTCGGCCTGAAATGTTCAAAGGAGCAACTCACCGCCAACAGCAGTAGGACGCTTAGCGCACCCATCCTGCTGTGCCTGCAGCCTTTTGACCTTCCTACACTTGAGCGGAGTCCATCGGAAGCAAAGTACCTATGAGCAAAATGATTGTCATTAAAATAATAAGAATCATCATCATCATCATTAAAAAATACTCAGAATGTTTTGAACTCCTGTTTCAACTTCAGAGTCATATTAAGGAAAAACAAAATGCTGCATGGAAGGAGCTCAACTTCCCAGAGTCGAAGAAAAAAATGAAAAGAAGATGACTTGCTCACAGCCTCCAAATAAGACACCAAGCGTGCTTGTTTCAAGCAGCTGTCACTCACAGTTGATGTTAGTTGCAAAACTGGCACATAAAACAAAAAAGATTTGAACGTTGAACATTTGAACAACTAAATGTTCAAAAACACCAGACGGTTCCGCCAGCTTCATGCGGATAAATGATGTGAGATGCCACAGATGGGCGAAAGGACAGTAGCATTGAGACGACGGCCACTGTAAACCTTTCAAGCAATTGCTACTTGAACACACAGGAAGCAGTAACACATACAAACAGACCATACAAGCCAGAGCAAAAACATCAAAGTAGGCTAACTTTATGTTAACACACAATCCACAACACCATAGAAGGGCTCACGGAAATTTCCATCAAATTTATGACAGCTATAAAAAGTCAATCAATTCCACAAAAACACAGAATTCAACAAACACTAATTAGGACGCGAGTTCAGGTGTACCTAATCAAGTGTCCTGTGGTGGAAGGGGAAAAACCCCCCAACAAAAATCAATGAATCGATCGTTAGTTATTGTTGATTGTGTTGAATTGATTGAAGGCGTATGGATTCAGTCTCAATTAGTTTGCTGGCTAAAGAATCAAGTTGAGGAAGTTGAGGAGCGACACCACACTCCTCAATTAAATTAAGTCAGCTTGATTTTCAATTTCTTCACACGCGCGAGCCCTACAAAGTAATTATGTAACATGCGTGTATCTTTAAGTATTTATAAGCACAAGTGGCAAGCATGAAATGGCAAATTCAAATGCAACAACAGCAAATAATGACAGATGAAGACATCTAACCACCGAGAGTACAAAAATAACTGAGCGATACGTCACTACGGCACTGGCAACAGGAGCTCAGAACATTCCATTCTGCAGCCTGACTGCCTTAAAACGCAATATGCCACAAAGAAATGAGAAATTCATCTCGTCCGAGGCGATTCATTCGATTCTTAGACCGCGCAACACCAGAGCATGATGCCCACTTCAAAGTTTTGTTGTGAAATGGTAAGCAAAGGTCGAAATTGAGTCAAAAACCAAGATAAACATCTCCTGACAATAATTAAATTGTCAGGAGAGGATACTCTGGTTGGGCTGGTTTGAAATGTGTCGCACCAGAAAGAGGTTTCACTTGGCAACAGCTTGATTGTTCCGATCTGCTGCATTAGAAAAGATTTGCAAGGTGTTTACATCTAGAAAGGCGCAGTATCCAATTGACAAATGGCGATTGGAAAAAGTTTGCAATGGAACAGTACACATACACACACAAAAAAATGTTGAATTTGCTCAATTTTACTTTGAGATCGGGTGCACGAAACCAAATCATCTGGATCCAAATTCATTTTTAAGTAAACGTGCTTCAGTGTAGAGACATGCCACATTTCAATGAGTGTTCTTCTTTTTCACCCTCCTGTTCACTTCAAGTTTCCTCACCTTTTTAAATACTTCACTATTTTCAGGGGTTATTTTTCGTGCTAACACTTTACCTAAGAGTTAATAAACATGATGACATATTTCACCCGGTGCAGTTTTTTTTTTTAATACCGCGTTGTCCTTTCCGCTCAGTCGGACTTTAGCAATCGAAACTTGTACGCAATAATTCTGAACATTTTCAACGCGGTTGTAACTTGATTTTGTTTGTTTATTACCTACATTGCCTGAAATATATGTTGATTTTTTTTCGACAGCCAAAACAGCCAGCGATGAGCCAAAAGAGCGTCCACAAAATCTACTCAAGACAGAATAGACTAAAATCTTTCACGTCAACGTCCTGTTATTTTCACTCGGTCAAATCAAACCTGACCTGACCCCCCCTCCAAAAAAAAAAAAAAAAGACAACATGAGAGTTCCGCGATAAATGAACTGGACGTGTAGAAAACGGGGTGGCAATGAGCGCAAGAATCCGCACAAATTTCAATCAGGCGTCGTCACTTTCAAAGTTGTCAAGATGACGAATACAACGCCCGAATCGCTCCTTGACGCGTCGGCCGAAACCGAGACATTTTATTCCGGTTGTCTCTCACGGCTGTTTCCGGCTGAGTCTCGCCGGTCACGCGCCCACCGACTGACTCGAGTTGCTTGCTCACTTACCCGGGCAACAAGCGCTGCGAGCGGCCAATTTCAAGCCGGCTCCGATTTCCAACACGGCGACCAAAAGCGAGTTGCGGTGCTGTTTCGAGAGAAACAAGACAACAAAGTGAGAGCGCGCCGAGAAGAGGAGGAGGCGGGCTCAAACTGGAAGTGGTTGGTTGGGTCACACCGTTTCAAGGAACCCTTGGTTGGGCACTTAACCCTATCCGACCAACGCGTCGACGGATGGACGGGCGCACGGATGCGTTCACTGGGGGGGGTGAGAGACTGACAGACCGACCGATAGATATTACATCATGTAGCAATGAAATAACAAAACATGGTCTTTTCAGTGCTGACTACATGTTGCTGTGTTGTTTTATTTATTTTTTATTATTCATCGCAAACTCACGTTATTTCTTTGAAAACAAGAAGCGTGGAGCGCTGTCTTGATGAACCGCTGAAACTGCAATTCAGTACTGCGTTGCATACACTGAATAAAAATTGTGTTCAATTCTTAACTGTTGTTTGTAAATGCTTGGAACTGTTATGTCTTGACTCACATTGAGTTGCCTTGCGTATATGAAATGTGCTGTAGAAATAAAATTGCCTCTCCTACTCATATAAAGAAATAAAAATGCATAGCAGCTTTTCAATACATAGATCTGCCGAAACTGATGACGCTGCAACATTGCAACACAAGATATCCACACATTCCATTAATTTCTATCACCTTTGCACAATCGCACTACCATTCACACTCACAAAGTCAGCTGACAGGAAATCATCAGCCAAGCTGTAAGACTACCTCACCAATAAACTGAGAGGATAAATCCTCCAGAGTGTCCTGCAGGGTGAGTCAACCTGAAAGTAACTTCACCATGAAGCCCCTGCAAAATACTCCCACAATAATTGTTTCCAATTACACTTCACTGACAGCTCCGATGGAAAACTGAGCATTGTTGTGACACCAGTTCGACAACGTGTCTTCAGGGTGCAAGCGTTGTTTTTTTTTTCCACATCACTGGATATGCACGGGACCTGCACAGTATCAGACTCAACAGGTCGCAGATGAAGTTCCCGAGCACAAGGGAGTCAACAAGTTCCCACCGTTTATGAGCTTCCACTCCCAAGTGCCCTTGTGACAAGCTCTACGCGACGCCGCCCTGGCAGCAAGCGCAGTCAAGTCGGTTCACAGTCATTGCGTTGAGTCATCAAGTCAGACACTTCCCGTTTCGCGCTTCACGTGTCTTGGCCTCAATTTTGGTGGAAATGAGTTCAGGCAAAAAGGGGGGCTGCGGTGCTGTCGAGCAGTCGGCGCAATGTACTGGAACTGAGCAATTGGAAAGTAACAATGACTACTGAACATACAAAAGCAGTTTTTTTTTTCACCCAGAAACTCATACCGCAACAAATGAAGTCATGCTTGCCACACAGGGGCTCGATGATTATCGCTTTGCAACCAACACGTGTCCATTTACAATTTATGATGCACATTGTTTCGCTTTATCACCAAACTGCACTATATCACTGAAACTTTTTATCGCAGGGGAAGTCACAATGTTGTGAAAATCTGTGATGTGCCAAAACTTAATTGAAAAAAAAAAAGGTTTTATGGTTTTACTCCTCCTGTGCACTTTACACACAATACGAAACACTGATTAAAAAACACCTTTTGAATACATTGTGAGTGTATTTGAACATGCACGCAAAAAAAATGTCAGCATCATATGTAGAAGATTCTGTTTATATGGTGTGAGTGCATATGGGTGTGAGCTGCGGGCCGACAGCAGCTCCAAGGTCAGCGTCCTTAACTGTTGAACACTCAGAGATGTTGAAAATAAACAACCAAAGAGACAAACAAAAAGTATGTCTGACTTGCTTGATTGGAACTACGTAGCAGGTGTCGTTCATTTCTGTAACACTCCAGGCCAATAGGTGGCGGTATGAGCAGCACAAAGTTCCACCCACAACAACAGTGTCCCCAACGCAGGTAGACACGAATCAAAAAGCAAAAACCAATTCCAATCTATAATTTTAACCAGATTTTTTTTCGCAAAATGTAATCCCTGATTGACCACTACTATCCTTTTTTTTTTTTAGCTTTTAATGTCTTTTTGCTTTGTTGTTCACGATCCGGCCTTGTCGGAGGCCTGTCCTTTACCAAGTGGCGTTCTAACATATAAGTACAGTTAAAATAACACATCGAAAGGTGGCCAAAGACTTTTTGAACGGGATTGTCAGTTTTGTATAATCCAGGTGCCAAACTAACCGACCAACAAATCAACAGTCGGTGCTTGGCGGAGGTCGCGGACAGGATGTCACTTCTCAGCAGAGATGAAAAGCTCCCTTTGGCAAGTGTGTTCCAGTTTTCATCCTAACAGCTAAATATTGCTTCATTGTGGTCATTTTGGACCTTGAGCTCTGTTTGCTGACCGGAGTCAACAGAGCTACGCGTTTTGGTCACTTTTGGACTTCAACATCTATCCTCTCGAGTCACAGCAAAGTGATGTGAGTGCGTCATCACATTTCACACAAAATTCTTGATGCCCGACCATTCAAGAAAAGTTGTTGTGGTGCGATTCTCCGTACAATCCAATCGGTCACACCTTTTAGCAAGTCGCACAGCCATCAATGAGAATGAATAATTCCTGGAAGAGGAGAAACATTTTGCCAAATGTGAGAGACGGCCGTGCGGGTCTCTGCACAGAGGAAGGGGGTCGCCGCTGTGAGATTTGAAAGACAGCGACCTAATGGCGGGCTTTCACGATGACTCAACTGTGACATTTCAAGTTAGTCAAAGTCACACACTTTTGAGTCCCCGTTCAGCTTTGACATTTGCCGACTGGGGGTCTCAAGCGGCATTCTTGTCTCGTCAGCCACGGTGAGTGCAGCACTGCTCGTTAAATCTTTTCGCAACACGATATGTTAAGAGCTGCTTCCATGAGCGGCAATGCGTTAAATTGTGTATTTTGACTCGAGTTCATCTTGTAATGCAAGTATGCGAGTATGTTGAGGAACTAACCAACACGCAACAGACGTTATCTCAGGGCACTTGACAGGCCTGGAGCCACGCTCCTCAAACCTTTAAAAAATAATCATAATAATAAATGGACGGAACCCTGCATGGGTAAGCACAAGTTAAAGGAGACGAGGAACAAACGCCTGCGAGGTGGCTGTCGGCCTCGAGCGGACGGGCTGAGATCAAGTGACAGGGTAGAGTGAGACGGGCATATGAAAGAGGGCTTCAATGTGCTGGAATACTTGTACTGTAATGGCAATCCTGATATTATGGTGATTGGCAGTATCAACGGTATGACGACGAGTTATTATTCAGCAATTATTCAAGCAGTTCAGGCGTCATTGTCGTCGGCCGTATATCAGGAAGGACGGGCATCAGCTACGGGTGAAAGGAACAAAGAATGCAGTTGCGGTGTTGTCCAGTGATGTTGAGGGCTAAAGAATGTCTGTCTATGTGTGTTGCACATTGTTTGTGTTCAAATAGGTGCTGTTCGTTAGCCCGTCAAACCACTGGAGTTTCCCATGATGTGTTAGCATTGAGCTAGCAGACTTGTAGGCAAAGTTTTGTGGTTGTCGTTTAACCAACTTCAGGAAGTTGCCTTTGCACTGCACCGTTTACGCACACCGCACACACACGCACGCACGCACGCACGCACGCACAGAATGTTGAAAAAGCGGATTTTACAATGTAAACAAGTTAAGAGTTGTAAAAACAAGCAGTTCAAGTCACAGTCGAGTCGAGAGTCATGAATAGCTTATATCTTCTCCCTTTTCCTCCTCTTGTTTTTCCCTACAGATGCGCACGCTCTCACGTCTTCTTTTTGCGTCCTTTTGCGGCCTGTGCTTGCTTTCGTGCGCGCTGTCAATGCAATGCAAGGACTCGCAGTACGCCTGGCCCATGAAGGCCCCGCAACGTTGCTGTGACAAGTGCCCGCCTGGTAAAGTGGCCTTTATGCCGTCGGCGTGGATACCGTGGCCTCAGTGCTGCCTATAAGGACGATCGCTCTGTGTGTGTGACAGGTCAACACATGATCCGGCGTTCTCGGACCAGCTGCCAGATTGAGTGTGGACCATGCATGGGCGAACGCTACACTGACTCGTACAACGTACAGATGAGCTGCAATGTTTGCGTCACGTGCGACAAGCGTGAGTGAACATCCAGTTCAGAGGTGCAACAATCAATCGGCAGTTGACAGTTATTGTAATAATCGATACATTGTTTAGAGTGAGCTTGTTTCAGAGAAAATCAATCGTAACCTACCACAACAATCGACCTCAATAACACGTAATTCCAATGATGGATTTCTATCTTTTAGCCAATATGGAGTACGAGTCCCACTGCCGAAACTCTCAGAACGCTGTGTGCAGATGTCAAGTCGGCTACGAATGCACGGATGAAGCATGCACGGCATGTTGGCACGCACCAGGAACAGTCAAGCCCAGCACCACAGGTGCCCCAAAACATCTGTTTTCAAACACAAGCATTGTGCAGTGATCAGTTGTGGTCCCACTTTATGATGTTTGTGGTTCGCTGTCACTGCAGCGACTGTGCTATTATGCTTCCACACTCCTTCCTTATTAAAGTGTACAAAAAGCAGCATTCAAAAGTCATTACAGCTACGTCGAAAAAAGTGGGGCATGTCTGTGACAACCTTGTTGAAAGAATCAAACACGAAACATTTCCACACCCTGTCGTCATTCGAGAAACAACTTGTTAGAACACAGAAGTCCAAACTCCAAATGTGATCTTACAAGCCGTGGAAAAGCTTATTGCAGTGTACGAGTCAAGAATTAATTTGCTTTCTTGAAACATGAACCAGTCAAATGAGCAAAAAATTAGCTCATCGGTGCAACGCAAATCACGCGAATGTAAATGCCCGTTGGGTCGATGAAAGAACCTTGCCGGCCGTATTTGCTCCAGCGGCCAAATTTTGCTGCGTTCCGTCTTACCTGTTTGTTTGCCTTGCAGATCCAAAGTGGTACCTGGTGGAAATCCTCCCCGTGTGTGTCGTCCTTGTCATCATCGTCTTCTTACTCGTCTTGCCCTTTCTCGGTCGGATCCGATCCAAGCACGGCAAGCATACGATTAAACGGGAGAATCTTGTCAAATGACCTTTGTGAATGTCATTCAAGCTAATTATAGCTCACTTGTACTGTTGCTCAGGGTTCTACTCAGTAGAAGTCAAAGCGATTCAAGGAGTGCCGGGCAATGAGGAGGAAGAGAGGATGCGCAAGCCTGTCCAAGAAGTGTGCGGCAAATGTGAGCAAAAGCGTTGAGTTTTGATTTTGTTCTTAGGGGAAACACAGTGGCACACAAGTTTGTTGTTTTGATGAGAAGAATAGAGAACATCCGCGTGGAAGAGGCGTGACGGCATGTGTATAGTCGTGGCAAATTTCACTGACGGGGGGGGGGGGGGGGGCGTAGTGTTTATTTACTCAATTGCAGGGTAGCGAGCTTCGCTTGGAGAAAAGCTTGTTCAAGTGCGTGTGTAAGGAGAAATGTTAGTGCTGTGTTACAAAAGGGTGCAGCGTGTTCTTCAAAGTGACCGTTTCTATCCTATCCTTTGATTTGTGGTGCTTATCACAAGCTCAATTAGATCGCTCAAGCTGGGTACACGCATGCAGATAATCAGGCCGTAGTTGAACGTTTTCTTCCCTTCGGTTAAACTCAGCCTAAGCAGGATTAGCAGATGGCACCCCGCAAAAGTTTGTCCCAATTTTTCCCAAAATACTTGCCTCATGCTTTAGCCACATGTCCAGTCTAGAAAGAAACAGAGTGCAGCTCAGCTTCTGGCTCGCGGATGTCACGGCTGGCAATATGTTTGAAATAGAAAAAGTTGCGCCCTGCAAGAGCAAGAGCAAATGCTACGACTGGTGTTTTGACAGTAAAATATTTCACACTGTTCAAGGTTATTTTAGTTGACGGAAATTAACCCTTTAATGTCTGACCCATCAAGGAATAGCCAGAAAAATCTGATTTTTGGGAACTGAGATGTTCATTAACCCTTATAACAAAATCCACAAAAATATTTTCGCCATATTATTTTGTTTTAGATATTTGTTGTATCACATTTATAAGCATTATGTAGATTACATCAAAAACTGAAAATTTGGGGAAAATCGTATTTTAAACCTGCAGTATCAAATTTGACACAGATGATTTAATGTACTATAAAGAATGAGTTACATAATGAAACTGCATGTATCAAATATGATACGAATGGCATAACAGGGTTAACAAAAATACACAAAATCAAAGTCGAAAGAACATTTTAACAAAATCAAATGAAATGCTATTTAAAAAAAACTGAAAACTGCAACGGCATTTTACATTTACATAACTAACAAACGCTAACTATCCTTGTAGCGCTATATGTCATTTTTCCAGGTAGTTATTTTTATTTAGTTTCTTTTTTTTAATTAAGCTTTCAATTTGCCACTTTATGAACTGTAATTCTGTGTCGCTTTCTTCCCCTTTAGTTAAGCCAGGTTGTTGAGGAGAAAGAAGAGAGACTACACGACTTAACATAAACACCTCACCACAATTATTCGAGTTGGGCTTGGGATCTTTGGAAAATACGTTCCTTTGCAGAACACTTGTGAGTTTAATTATTAGGCGGGTGCGCCGCTAATTATGAAGGGCTGATCCAGCCAAGCCTACTGGGACTCTTTTCTTGTCAGTCTGGATGCCACGATGCCTCTCCTGGGTCAGTTTTGGTACAACTCCTCCATCATGCGTGGGGGTCCATCACCTTTTAAAAATGGTTCAAGGGGTTCCAAATCTGTGTGCCACGCCACTTCCTTGTACTGGGATGCATTTTGTATATTTTACATTTGTGACTCGTTTCTTTTCTGAATGGGCTAATTTGATGAACGAATAAAAGCCGTTTTTTAACCAAATATCTGGCTTTGTGTGTGACTTGAATGGAGTGACCGTATGAAAATATCTAATGTCTTCATCTCAGGGCTCAAAATAAATAAGCGCACATCGCAGTTTCCAAGCCAAAATGTACAATTTTGGACCTCATCAAAAAGACATTGACGAGCAAAATTGAGAGAATCAACTCCTAAAACGATCCCAAAAAAGCTTTGCTAGGATCGACGCATGGGCATCGCTCACGTGACCTGCGAGTAGCCGGTGGTCGAGGCTAACTCAGTGCTACTTACGCTCTTCGGCTAGTTAGTAACCAACTTTGGCTGGTTACTAGAGCGGCCCAAAATGTTGCGGAGTCGTGACTGTCACTAATCATCGCTTGTGTGGCTGCGAATCGGTTACGCTTCTGACGAGTATCATTCTCACGATGGGAAGAGGAGGAAAATGGAGAAGCCATGCTAACTGCTAAGCTAACCCCAATGTATCGTATAAGGTTCACATCATCACGTATCTCCGTCTATCTAATGTCTGCAGGAGAAATTGGGGGAGGGTGTTAATCAGGTTATCGCCTACTTAATTATTATTATTATTAGTAGTAGTATTTATTATAAAGGTAATTACCACCCACTAGTGGTAGCAACAGCTATTTTTTCTGTCAAGGGGGAGCGGGAGGAGGTGTTTATGTAATGGAGGGTAGAGATGAATGCAGGCACTTTGTCAATTCGAATGGAGGCCACTTCTGAATGAATGTTAGTGGTCTGATTTGGTAAGACAGCACATCGACTAAAATCCCTTCAAACATCCCAAGATCTTTATTGTACTATGTCATGTTTATCACACGCATATATGAACTACTGTACAACAGGACTCTGCGAATACTTATATACACTATTTCAAATTATTACAATTAAGAAGCTAAGAATACACTGAACATGCTTACTTTGCGGCATGAAAAAATGTAGTTCCTTTGTTAAATCGTGAAAATGCCATTTCTTTCGGTACATGTTCAACATCGCAACAATATCAATCTTACATTATCCAACACCTACAGTTAATCGCATATTGCATGTTTTATATGCATACCAATATCCATACAGTACCGTGTTTGAGTGTGAATAGCGAAAACGTTTTGCAGGCTGCGGGGACTGTGGCCCTTCTTCTCACAGGTTCTGAAACACTCTCCAAACTAAAACGTTGCATGGCTGCCACCTAGTGGCAGATGTGCGTGGTAAAGTTGTTTCCGAGCTTGAAATTCAAAGCGGGCCTTCCGCACCCAGTGAGCACCAATCAATCAATGCAAGTGTATGACTTGGTGGTGGATCATTTCAAAATCATTTATCGTTCTCAATGTCACAACAACTATTTGAAGAGGGGTGTGTAGACTTATTATTTTCATAATTGCTCTGAATTCTAAAGGGTGCACCATTAAATTCATTGCACTCTCCTTTATTTTCATAATTGCTCTGAATTCTAAAGGGTGCATTAAATTCATTGCACCCTCCTACTCCTTCCTTCCTTCCTTCCTATCAGATAGTGGCCCTTCTCAGTGTTTGCTAAACTTACAGAAGAAATGTCCCTCCTGCTCCAATGAGGCGTTCTCCATCCTTCACCTTCAGGCTTCTGCTTCCTCTTTGGACACGTGCCAGTCTTTACCTTCCTCCTGAGAGGGCAAGAAGACCGCCTCATCACTCCTCTCCTCCTCAGAGAGGGGGACACCAAGTGAGATTCGGTCGCTGCCTTCGGTCCCCTCGTCATCATTCTTATCTTCCGTGGCCCGCCTAGCTTCCGTGACGGGTCCCACTTGGCCAGTAAACTGACTGAGCCAGCTGATGATGACCGTCCCCGCATTGTGGACGTGCACAGCACCTGCACAGACGTTCGGGAATTAAAACATCTGAGCCCACCCGTGTGTGCGGAGATGGACAAAAGGGCTTCATACCCCAAGGATCAATGGGTAAATGCTGAGTCGACTCCTTTGCCTTGCCTGCAGCATTTGGACCATCCTGGAGAGGAATCATCCATTTATAGATAAAAAAATCAAAATCAGAAAGCAAGTGTCACATTTTATGATTTAAAAAAAAATTGTTTCCTCACTGATGGTGGTGTTTCCTGACAGTTTGTGCTTGTATGGGTTTGACAACGCGTTTTGTGTATAACATGCTTTTTGTGTATCAAATTTGATATTAATTCATCAATGACAATACCGTTACATTACAGAAGATATGTTGCTCTACACAACCATGTTATGTAAACAAATAAATTCCATGAAAATATTCATCTTCTGGATTGGAGTGGTTTTTAAATTTTTCCACACAAAATCCCACTTAAAACAAATTCAACAATGAAATAAAAATGTTACCTCAATAAATGTTTGAAAACAAATATTCCTCAAAGTTCACAAACAAATGCATTGTACTTAAAAATGAAAAACAACCGAAGTGTACGTCATAAATGTCCTGTACAAGATTTAAAAAAAAAAAAAAAAAAAAAAGTGAAAGCCACTGTAACGTTCTGCAAATTTCATTCAATTCAACATTTAAGTCAATCATTCTTTCATGTACCACTAGAGAGTACGTAGGCTCCTACGTACCACACTTTGAGAATCATGGCTTTAACGTACATTGCGTGTCGTTAAATACAAAAACATTTCTACATGCAATGAACAGCGAAAATGCCCCAAAAATTGACGACTGCCGCAAAAGCTTTTTGAATTGCCCCCCGCGGATGCCACTAGAGGGCAGCATAGCTCCGCAATTCATTTCAACATTGCTCCTTAGCACCGCGATGTGACAAGACGGCGCCAAAGCAATTAATTCTCCTCTCGTCTGCAATGCACACGCGCACGCACGCACACACACACACACACACACACACACACACACACACACACACACACACACACACACACGAGTCTTGTTGTGCACATTCCTCACCTTGTTCCGTAACCTCACCACGGCTGGAAGACACAAATCACACACTTGTTAGCAGACTTGCCTAAATTCTGAAATCAATCAATCAATCACATTTCACAGATAGGGATTTGGCATCGTACCTCGCTTCAAGCAGGTTTCCTCTCCAGAGCGACAGATGCAGTGCAGGACCGCGAGGACAGCGGTTACCACGACGACCATGGGGACGGTGAAGGCCAGCAGCCCAGGGCCTGGACTCACCTCTGTAAAAAGGACACATTCAGTGAACCTGCTGCAAAGTGTTGTATCATTCACATATAAAATAAAAAAACGCTGACTCACCTTTGTCCGTGTGTGAGCTGTTTCTCGGATCAACGTCACATCTGTATGATCAAGACACAGTCATCTTTCACTGATGATCATAAAACTGTTCTGCAAAAGCATTAGCATCCGTGGCTGTTCATAAGTGAACGGAGGTACAATATTTTTTTTTTCCGTTTGTTTTTTTTAACCTCACCTCTGTTAACCACTGACAAACGTTTCTGTTCCCTGTGCTCAGGCCAAAGCTTGGGTTAACATGAAAATAGTGCTTTAGCACATGAGACCATTAGAAAGCTTCTGAATGGGATTATTTTATGTGGGACTTACTCGAGAAATGAACACAATCTGGCGGAGCGGCTGCTGTCTCCTGAAGAGGAGGAGGAAGAGGAGGGAGTCTGTTCATCTTCATCTGGCGCTGCTGTTGTTTTTGTCGTCGCCTTCGATGTTGCTGAGACAGAACGTAATTAATAAAAACAAACGGATTCACGAACCGTGTAAATATTTTGTCATCTAGCGGCAAAGGACATATACCGTATTTTCTGTACTCAAGTAACTGCAAACTTCTGCAGAAGCGGCGATCATACGATCGTATCGTGTCATGATTTGGCAGATGAAAATGAGCGCTTCTGAAAATAATTTCCTAACAATCATTTTTGTCAAGTGAATGGCCGAAACTAATACATTGTGGAAGTCGTCAGAACATAAACACGCCCCGAACTAAATACTGTAGTGTGACCACATGACGAGAGGCTTCTGGAAAGTCTTCACATGAGGTAAGATCACACGGAGGGAGACTCCACGAGATGCTGCTGTTTTGGTTCGCCATAGAGTTCAAATTGGTCATTTACGGTGGGGCACAACCAAACTGCATCACACTGATATTTGTTTCTAAAATGTTGCTTTCTGGTACCTTGTTGAGCCAAATTACTTTTCCATTTGCAGAAGACAAATTTCTTATATGGACGAAAATGTCAACCGTCGGACTACTCGGCATCTTCTTACCCGTTGTGGTTGCGACACAGTTTTTGCAGTTGTCGGTAAGGGCGACCACAGCGGTGCAGCGGAAGCCATCCTGGCATGCGCACTTGAGGTTCGACGTGCTGCTGCAGTTCGCAAGCACCCTCAGATTGAATTCTGAGAAGAAGAAGAGGCATGATAAAGTTCATTTGATGGGCTTCCATCGCAGCAGGGCAACCATGAGTGCAAGTGCGCCTACTGGCCACAACATTAGATACACCTGTGCAATAGAATAAGATCCCACCCAAGAGCGACATCCCCATTTCGGTCTTTAAAGAGGAAAAAACCTCACATACGTTCAGTGAAATTGTCTATAGCTGTGAGCGCGTTTAAAGACTTTCAGTAGTGTATGTAAACAAATCTTTTTTTTAGTAGTGAGCAAAAAAGACTTTCAGTAGTGTATGTAAACAAATCTTTTTCTAGGAGTGAGCAAGTAATTTTTCAAATGCGTGTGACATTTCAGGAGTGTTCGAGATTTTTTTTTTTCTTCAAATGTGAGTGACATTTTCAGTAGTGTGAGTCTTTCAGTAGTGTATGTGAGAGAATTTAATGTGTGTTAAGAAATCCCTTTTTTGAGCAGTGTGATCAAATAATCTTTTTGTAGTATGTGTGAGAGTGTTTCTTTCGGGTGTGTATGTGAGAGAATCATTTCTCATTGTGGGTGACCAAAAAAAAAATGTGTAGAGGATGTGAGAGAATTTCAGTAGTGCATGTGAACAATTTTCAGTCAGGTTTGCATGCAAGTACTTTTTCAGGAGTGTGTGAGAGTTTTTCAGTAATGCATGTGAGTAAGTATTTTTTCAGTAGTATGTGTGAGTGAATAACTCAGGAAAGTGAGTGTTTCAGTAGTGTTAGAGACCATTTCGGCCATGTGTGTGTGTGCGTGTGTGTGCGTGCACGCGTGGACGTGTGAGATGCCGGAGGAGGCATTTTGCATTTCACTATTAAAGAAAAAATGAGCAATGTGGCGCTTGCATTGTCAAGTGTAGCTAATGTTGTGACCACCGAAGGCGTTCAAAAGGCCGTCTACCAGGCCTGCAGTCGCCGAAGCAACGGTGGCAGCAGTCTTCACAGTTCCAATCGGTAGTGTAGCTCCCAGCGGGACACGGAACGCACCCCTCGCGAGATTTCCGGTACTGACCTGACGGGAACAGACACACGAAAACAAGGCAACGTGCGTGAGGTGTCAAGTGCGCGGCGGCTTCCCGGCTTGGTGACGCCGAAGCAGGATGTGGTCACGGGCCGGCGCTGCTGCTTTATTTGTCAGCATCGAGACCAACACGGGAAGGGCGTGAGAAAAGATGAGAGATGTGATACTCCTTTCCATCCAGTTAGTGGCTCATTGATTAGAAGAGGCCGTGAGTCAAAGCATTGCGAGGAAAAGTTAGAGAACTGCAAGATGCGTTCTTTGTTATTCTTTGCCTTCGTCTACACCGTCGTTGGACTGTATGAGGCATCCCACACTTTGAAAAAAGATCAAAGATGATTGAAATCGTTCCCAATGAATAATGAACGCCGTTTACAAGATTAATTAGATCATCCGTGTGACACGCGGAGACCGATATAATGATTACGTGTAGTTGTGATCGTATGAACTTTTTTTAAAAGCTACATCATGTTCAAAAAAACAAGCTGTAAGTACTTTAAAACAAGTTCTTGCGTCGCAGACGAGCTCTGGTAAAGCCACGTCATGACGTATTTCGGTCAAGATGGAGCATGCGCAGACCGGACGAGGCCTGGCTATTTTGGTTGAACTGTTCACAGGGATTGACAAAAGGAATCTTTGACCCCGGTGAATCCAAATACAGTTCCATTCGGATTCGGCGTGTCTTCTGATTGAGGTTTGAATACGGAGCATCCATTCCAATCGGAATCCAATTGCTCCGGCATGTCGTGCCAGCGAGGCCCTCTCAACTGGCCTCAACACTCTGACGCATGAGCTCGATTTTACCGTTTCAATGACAATTGTTCCAGGAAACAGTTTTCATTCATCTCAAACAGTCTTCTTTTCTCTTTTGATTTGTTTTGCTCCAATTAGCTCTCAGCCCATGTGGCTCTGTCAACCTAATCTGCCCAAAGCCTTCAGAAGATTTCAAATTCACCACTGAGGGTCAGCTACACTGAAAAAGAAAAAAAAAAATCCTTTGGTTCCATTGGATTGAAAGAATTCGGACATGAGCATCGGTCGACCGTGGTTAAAATGTGCTCAAGTAACAGGAGGAAAAGAGTAGAAAAGGACGTCAGTTGACCACGTTTGTATGATACGAAAATTAACGACTGGCACACAATAGCGTCACCATTTTTCAATCCTTCAATTGATTGATCAGATCAAGTCACAAGAGACGTGTAATTTGGTTCTGATCTTCTGCCACATGGTGTCAAAGCAGAAGCGCGCTTTTAGGTTCGGCGATACTGTATTTCAAACCAAAAGATGATACCGGGTCTACTTTGCCCATGCAACACTGCCAAAACTACCCGAGACAAATCCGTGTGTGTTCTTAAACACACTTGACCAATAATGACGATTCTCATACGCAGAACTGCTGTGCCGTTAAAATGCCAATAAAAAAATGTAGTCAGGATAATTGTACCATATCATGTTTCATCTCATCTCATTATTTAGACGTGTGGAGGGTGGGGGGGGGGTGTCAGCTCCGTTCCTCCACAAATGTAACACCTCTCTATTACGTCATCCTTGTGCCTCAATTTCCAAGCATGACCAACTGATTTACGCTCACTGCAACAGCTTCACCGTTTATGGCGCCGTTCTGTTCTGACGGTGGCGACGTAACCCAAATTTGTGCACAACTTGGAAGTCGATAAGGAACCTACGCAGGGTGAGGATCAAAGTCCTCCCTCCTCCATCCTCCATCCATCCATCCATTTTCAACAGCGCTTATCCCGAAGAGGGTTGCAGGGAGTTTCTGGAGCCTATCCCAGCTGACTTTGGGTGGAAGGCAGACAACACCCTGAACTGGTCGTCAGTCGATCGCAGGGCACATACAGAGACCAACGACCGTTCACGCCCACATTCACGCCATCACGGAGTGGGAACCGATCCCACCCTGCCCGCGCACAAGTCCGCCGTGTGTCCCGCTACACCGTCCGCCACCTCGAGCAATGAAATCATTTGTGAAAATTTTTGTATGGAAAAACTCGGTTGTAAATTCAAAAAGAAATGAAAAACAGTATGTGCAGTGGCAACTGAGTTTTGCCTTCTTGTGCCAAGTGGTCTTTGTTACCACATGGCCGTTCTGTACTCAATTCTGGCATACCGGTAGGACAACTAACTCACTAACGACTCGTGAGCATTTGGTGCTCTGAGTAGAGTCAACATATTTTGCAACAACAGCAACATGAGAAAGATTTTGCCACAAAAAGTTCTTTTTCCTCACCTGCAGGGCACATCTTGCACTCTTTGCCATGTTGGGCGGACAAGTGGTTCCTCTCCATCTGTAAGTTTGCAAGTTTGCATTGGTGAGCTGGTCTCCAAAAATGTATTCAACCAATTTATTGTCTCAATCGATTGAGACAATAAATTGGTTACAATAACAGTAAACACCCATGAACCTTCTCAAAGACTCTCCAAAACTTCCACTAACAACCCAGGCTAAACTTGACTCCTCCGTGACATGCAAAAGCCCTTCATCTCTCTGTTGACAAATACCACATTGACATACCTCCGTGACCCCAATTACTACTTTCCTAATAGCCAAAGCTTTTGCAACATCTGGTGGCGGTAGCCTACTTAGCGTGGAACCAAAGTTGCCCCGTCAGCGACATTTTTTTTGCGAGGAGGAAGTGAACTTACCATCGGCAAGGTGAGCAGCAGCTGCGCAGGGGCCAACAGCGCAACCGCCAAACATTTCACTTTAAGGCCCATCCTGTGAAGCGACGATCGAAAAGCAATCGGCAAAAGTCAAACAGAAACGTCTTTTCATCAGATTGCAACGTTTCTTTTACCTTCTGCTGTGCCGCTGCCTCGATTCTCCGGAAGCCCCTTTGCTCAGCGTCTTCACTTTCTGTTACTTTTCAGGGCGCCTGCCTCCACCCATCGTCGGCGTCACTCTTTCCTCCCTAGCTGAAGTCTCGTCCGCCCACTGAGCCTTTGCACGCAGGAGCGCCACCTCGAACGCTTTACCGTACTTAAAAAACATGTCAGGTTTTGCTGAAACGGAAACTTGACAGGTTGACTTACAGAATAGGATGCATAGCATGAAACTTTAGTTGTGAACTTTTTTTTTTTTGTTATGCCTCTCCCACATACTTATGAAAACAAACTATTGAAAGCACTCTGAAAGTAGAACTCCCTCCAAAAATAAACAGACTGCACATATAGAATCTATAGAAAATACAGTACATATTGGAGCGCCTGTGAAAATGCAAGTGACTTTAAGAGGCGGGGCTTGGTGGAGTGGGGTGACATTCGGGAGTCTGCACGTTGAGTGTCTTGATGTCAGCGATGGTTTACAGCAGCTTCTGTGTGGGTGTGTGTGTGTTTTGTTTACTAGTCAATACCCGGCTGACAAAGACTGCAGCTCTCCTTACCCACATACAAGGTCATTGCAGTAAGTAAGCTGTACTAAGACTGGCCGAGTACTGATATCAGGGATCGGTATCGGACCGATACCGACCACCGAAAGTCAGAGAAAATCGGACAGCAAGTAAGTGGTCCTCAGCAGTATTTGGCGCTGTATTGCGGCAGTTTGACCGGTGAGGGAATCATCATCTGCGTAGGAAAGAAAGGTTTTGTTCCCATTGTTTTGTAATTATGTCAAATGAAATTTCATATCTTAAAAGTACTAGAGGTATCGATACCCTGTATCAGTGAGTACTCAAAGGGCGAATATCTGGATTGGTATCGGCGTGAAAACAAAAACAATCAGTTAAAAAAAAAATGCAACAGAGTAAGCATGCAAATTACGATATAACAGAGGAACATTTAAAAATTTAAAAATTAATTCTACCAATTAAAAAAAAAAAACATCACACACAAAATTACAAATTCCAGCTCTGGTTCAGTACATTCCACAAAAAAATTACACGCTCGAAACAAAAATGCTACGTTACGCTACATGAAATTTTTTTTTCTTGATTTTTAAAAAGCACTTGGATTTATTTTGCAACAAATCCCAAAATAAATTACATAAAAGCAGTTGGAGTTGAATATACAAACCCATTTTTGATCATTCAATTAGCAAGTGAGACAAGAATCACACTCAGCATGTTGCTCAGATGCGTCGTTTATTCTTTCCTCTCTTGTTGGACATACAGATCATCTCGCAATTGTGCAAGGACGCCAATGTCATGTTTCAAGCTTTTAGATGAACACGACTGACTCACACGGAATTGAAAGAAACAACCACAACAAAAAAAAAAAAGTTTCAAGGCATCACACCCAATAGCCTTTTTTGTCCTCGCTGTGAATTCAAACTTTCTCACCGGCTGTTTGTGTTCTCGTAGCTCAGCTACTTCAAAAATGGCCGCAACAACTCGCTTTTCGTCACTACTGTGCACAACTGTGAAAAAAATGCGATTCTAGATTGGTGAATAAATTGTCAAAAGAACAGTTGAGCAAAATAATCAATTTGTGAAGGAAAAAAAAAAAAAAGAAAAAATGAACTTGGCCAAATATCGATTTTGGTGTCCGCCAAACGGTGACTTTTAGGCTTTTGAAAAAGCTCATGAAATGTAAAGAAATGAAAAAAACATCATCAAATAAGATTGACGGCTCGTAATAGCGTCTTACGATGCCGCCGTGACTTCAGTGCTCTCCATAACATTGGCGGACTAGCCTGGACACAGCATGTTACGTTATTGTTGAGAATTTATTGCACAGGAAGAGAATACATTTCAAGACATGTCACAAGCGTCAACGGCGATACCAATCACCGCCTTGCCAGCCCGCTCGCTGGCAGATGCGTACACACGAAATTGGCAACGGAAACTGAACGTCCTGTACGCGGCGGCTCTTACTTGGCGGCTTTCCGAGTCAGTCACACGGCGCCATGCAAGCAGCACGATAATCCTGATCAGTCTTCTCAATTGATGGATTCACAGAGCAAATATCGTTTTCTTATTTACAGTGTTTCTTGGTTACGGATTTACAAAGCGATAGCGCTGACGGCTTCGTCATTTCATTGCTTTGCTCGTTCCTTTCTATGCGCAAACTCAAAAGAAGAGGACTTTATTTACATCAAGCACGTCGGTGGGAGAAGGGGAAGGGAACCTCTGGCAGCTCAACTTGAGGATTTTTTTTTTCTTTTCATATTGGCACTCGGCGGCTCATTTCTTCCAGATTGGAATCTCGGCATTCTAACTCAAAGTTATTCGGAAATGCCTCATCTGAGACTCACATACAGTGGCACCTTGATTTACGAGTTGAACTGGGACCCAGACCACTCCAACCTCACTCATCCATCCACTTTTCGATCCGCATTATCGTCACAAGGGTCGCGTGGCGTGCCGGAGCCTATCCCAGCTGTCTTCGGGCAGTAGGCGGGGGACACCCTGAACCGGTTGCCAGCCAATCGCAGGGCACACAGAGACCAACAACCATCCGTGCTCACACTCACACCGCGGGACAATTTGGAGTGTTCAATCAGCCTGCCATGCATGTTTTTGGAATTCCTGGGGCAGTGGAGGGTCTGATGCGCCCTCGCAGCTTAAGTCATAAGTCATTACTCGCAAGGTAAAAAAAAACCCAAAAAACAACAACTTGTACATTGAGGTGCCACTGTATTATTCACATGCTCCTCATTGTGTCATGAAAAACAGTCCAACAGTTCCCTTCTCTCATGCAGATGCCGTTGTCAGTTAAAGTACGCCGGAAATCGCATTGCAGCTAGCGAGCAAATCGCCAAGACTTGACAAGGCGAGTCATCAGCAAGCGATCGAGCTTTGTCAGGGTGACCAAACTTGTTGCCGGCGGGCTCCAGCGCTGCTGACGTTTCAAGTTTTGATCGTGAAAGCACATTTCATTCCCCAAATACCGAATGCGGCTTCACGCGGCTTCGCGGCCCGATAAAAGTTTCTGCGCGGAACCAACGCAAGCTTCCCCTCTGCGGCAGTAAGGCAGGAAAACGCTGACTCGTGACGTCGGAACGTTGAGTGGGAAAGTGACCGTCATCCGCATGCTTGGTGCGAATCGTAACACGAAATAATTTTACAGCGACTGGACTGCTACTAAATGCTCACATTAACGGTCCATTTGTCAAGCTGGTGTAAGATGGCGATGTGGAAGATACATATTTGGACTGCGGTGATGACGATGATGATGTTTGTCGGGCCACGGTGGGGGGGGGTTGATGTGCCGGCACGCTAGTGTTTTGCAGATCACCTGACCGCAGCGGCCAGGTGTCAGGACCTCCCGGCGCCGGCCGAGGACGGCGGAGACGCCGAGCTTCTGTCGCTCTCTCGCTGGTCGCTGTCGTCGGAGGACGTCTGCGCCGCCGCGTTACTGCGGGAAAAACGGAGAAGGCGAAAAGTGTCAGACATCATCGTGACAATGACTGCCATCGACGGCGACGGACGTGTCAGCGCGCGCGCATACTTGTCGCCGCTTTGCGTGATGAGTCTCCTGCAGGTCTCCATCTGGACGTCCAGGCCTCTCTTCATGGAGCACATCTCCATGTACTCGTGCAGGTGGCGGTTCATGTCGCTCTTTGCTGTCGCCAACTCCAGCTGGAGGGGAACAGTCGGGACTATTTAGTGTCCTTGGAAGACACGCACAGTGTTTACCGTTTAAGTCGTTTCTAGAAACACGGCGTGACATTGCGACTCTCAATGTGCTTTTCAGCGGAAAATGATTTTCTGGAAAAATGCCATGGAGAAGTAACGAATCCAGCATCAACGTCGCAGTAGTTATTCTCCTCGAAGCAACTTGCGATAGAACATAAATAGTACAGCAATACACGTAGACAGACAATATAATGATACTCACAGGAGATCACTGCAGTTCACGTCACTAACAAGAAAAAGGATCTTTGCCGTGTTTAGCATTTAAGTACTACACCGCCCCCTAGTGGTAAAAGACTGCACACCTGAAGGTCCAGCACAATGGGGCATGAAATAATGACGCAGTTTTAACATTCACTTCAATGAGGCTTGTTCCTGTATTTGCTTCAGAAAAGAGAAATCCACAGTGTATTTTTTTGAATAAAATAGAACACAGTAGCGTGCCGCTGTACTTATTAAAAAACATTTGACATTTCAATTCCAGTATTTTATTCCTGTATTGACAGACAGTGTCGGCACTGATACCAAGACCGGTATCGGTTGGGAGTGGTAAAACCCGACAAAAAATTCCAAGCAAATGTTTCACCTCAATCTGGTCAATGGTCTCCTGGTATTCCTTCTCTCGGGACTTGAACAAGCACTCAGTGTCATTAATCACTTTTTCCAGACAGTCGTCCTGGTAGGAGGGGAAAAGAACAGAGACTGTAAAACAGACACATGGGCCCACTCGATCACAGAAGAGGCTAAAAAAAAAAAAAAAAAAAAAAAGTTGAAATGTGCATGTAAAAAAATCGCAAACAAAACAATTGATGCTTATTTTTATGGCAGTATCTATAATTAATTTAATTAGAATGAAGTAAGTGATTAAAATGTTTACAACAGTTTATTTTGACTTTTGTGTTTCATGTAACTGTTTATTTTTATCATAAAATAATAAATCAGGCTTTAAATTTTTATTTTAATAGTACAATTTATCATTCCACCCTTCGATTTTCTACACTGCTTATCCTCAGTGCTAGAGCCTATCGACTGAAAACTGACATCAAAGTGCGCGCGGGCTCATATTGCGAACGTCATGTGACCAAACCCAGAAAACAGGTCAGCTGTGACGTTTGCAATGCGAACCCGAGGGCACGTTGACGTCAAATGAAGTTGACAGCAGAAGACGGACAGAACAAAATGGCCGCCCCGTGAGATGGATAGAAAATGTGGATTCATCTGCTTAATCCTTACAGTCATAATCAGTAGAGATGAACAAGGACCGATACCAGATAGCGGTATCGGGCCGATATCGGACCCCATTAAGGTATCCGATAATTGTGGAGGCTGCCGATTCCCGCCACTGATACTGAAGGCAAAACCATCTGACATTGAGTAAGTCATCCTGGGTAGTCGTTGGCACGATACTGCGGCAGTTTGAGACATCATCTGTGCCAAAAAGAAAGGTCTCTGCTCCCTGTCACTGTGTTGAACGAAAATGTACTTTCTTGACACTGCACCCATTTTTCGGTGTACTTTTTAACATAAAAGTGACATGCAACAATTTGTCAAAGACGTAGCCGACCTCTCCAGGCGGGTGGGCGGGGTCGGGAGGCAGAGTGCATCCTGGGAAATCCTCCCACAGCAGCAGCGTTTCCTCCGTCTCCTCCCAGGCCAGGCTGTCACAGTCGTCCTCAAACTCGCACTCGCGCCTGCAAGGCGGCGATTTACGTGAGAGACGTGAAATCCCGAGAGGGGCTCCTGCGCACGTGCGACCACTCACAGGTGGTTGAGCATCCTCTGCATCTCTTCGTTGATCTGAGTGGCTGATGAGTTGCCGTGCTGCTGTTGCTGCTGCTGCTGCTCGTCCTCTTTGGCCGCGCCGGCGTCGCTTTCGGATGTGCTGACTGGTTCATCGCCCTCGCTGCCGTTCACGGACACGGGCGTCTGTTTGCGACGCAGGCTTAATGACGGCTGGTTGTTTGTAACCTGCACACGTATTTTGGGGTTCAAAAGTAAAGTCCAAAACAGTGACTTTGGGCATTTTCAAAAGTGGGGAGTAAAAGTAAAAAGTCATCAGAACGCAAAGTACGGATACCTGAAATAAAGGGCTGGACGACTCATGGAAATTTTAATCATGATTTCGATTTTTGGCCTCTGTTGGTCTCATACATATGTTATAATAATCATTTTTAAAAAAAGATTTATTTGTACAGCGGCGTGGAATATTTACAAGTTCCCGACATTGTGAGAGTAAATACTCTAAGTTTTGAAAGCGTGATTTCAGTCCCAATCAAAAAATAATGGCGATTTCTATCATCGTCCGTCCCCGCTGCAAAATCGACCGAAGTACGGATGATAACGTTCTGACCCTGTGGAGAACCCGATCTGAAAAAAGGTCGACGAGAATCAACCTGGTACATCTGGATGACATCTTCGCAGTTCCTCTGCTGGGCGACGTCACAGAGGCGAGCCGTGATGTCGATCCTGCGGCAGATGTCCATGTCCACTTTCATGGCTTTCTCCTGAATCTTGGTGTCCAGATCGGACAGATTCTACAGGAGCGTCCGCGACAGGGAGAAATATATTTGTTTATATTACAGTATATGTCAAAAAAAATAACATCTAAAGACATTTTTCAAGGAAAATAATTTTGAATAAATTACATGCAGTAAATAAGACAAATGCATGTTTTTTTTTTGTTTCATAAATCAAGTAACATTTTCAGATACAAGGTTTCGCTTTTTGAAAAGAATCAAATCATCTTTGGCATTGGATTGTATTCTCATGCACAGGTGCGCCTTATGAGAACACAATTTCAATTTACGAAGGCGACATTTGGAATGACGTCGGCGGCGCCGCGCTCACGTTGCTCATGAGGCCTTTGAAGAGAACCAGCTCGGCCTTCAACTGCTGTACTCGGAGGGCCAGCTCATCCTGGCAGCCTTCGCTCTCTTGCAGGTCCTGCGCAAACACACACACACACACACACACACACACACACACACACACACACACACACACACACACAAAAACAACCGTGAAGCATCAAAACATAAGCGAGCACACGCGGACGACCTCACTGCACACACACACACGCAGTCGTTACATTACGCAAGAGGTGGTCAGGGGCACGATAAAAGCCTTCTGCGGCAGTGAACCGCATGAAAACAAATAGTAAGGGCATCATCGACCACGAGGAGCTCGGTAATTGTCCGTTGGCGGTGTCATTGTCTTTTAACAGCGCCCCCTGTTGGCTCATTCATGCGCGGGCGCAAGGTAATGACGAGCTCAGGTGAAAGAACACATCAGTTTAGATGTTCAGGCATTCAGGTTATTGCAAAAGGTGGAATCGACTTTAATCCAATTGGACTCTGTGTTCGTTTACTGTTTTACGATTTGAGATTCATATTTTATTTACGATCATGATACAATAACAATAACCGCCGAACCAATCATTTACGACAGGAAATGCAATTTGCTGAGTGTAAATGTGTTGATTTTGCTCGTTTTATTTTGTAATTTACAGCGAACCAATCAAATCAGAATTTACTTCTACCAAAAAAAAAAAAAAAAAAAAAATCTGGAGGAGACAGCTAAATAAATACAACAGGAACTCTACGAAAAACAAAGCTCCTGGTAATTTTCCGTGTGAAATGCAGTTTGGTTCTCCGTAGTTTCGAGATGGCGCAGGAACTTTGAGCAGCGCGCAGCGTCTCCGATTGGGTGGCTGCACGTTCACCCCGTGATAAAATACAGCTGCTGTATAAGGCACAAACATGCCAAATAATTACCTCTTGCAAGTCAGCAATCTTTTGCTGCAGGTCTGTCCTCATTGTGTATTCTTCTTCCCATCTAGGAGTCAAACAGATGCAAGAGGTGAAGTACGGCAAGTCAATTCAAAATGTCTCACTCGTTCTTTGGCCTTTGTGCCAAATAAACAAAGTAGTTCAAGTTCTGGCGTATTTATTTATTTATTTATTGGGAACCAATCAGATTTTAGATTCAAAAACGTGAGGGCAAAAAGTGACGTCAGCATTTTTCAGTCCTCTGATGTGATGAGAGCTAACTTGTCTTTCGAAATGCAATATTTGACATATTTCACAGTTGCTGGCTAGGAAATCAACAAGGAATGAAAATCGAAGTTTTGATGGAGTTCTGCCACATCAAACTCACGAAGTCTTAATGGAGTCATTGGAAGAGTAAAAGGCCTTCCCCAAAATTTATCTTCCGTGAAGAATTGAGTGAGAAACCAAAGCTCATAAATCGCTGGTCTGATTAAAAAAGAAAAAAGGGCACCGACATGATGCTGAAAATCATCCTATAGAACTTTCAATACATTTAAAAGCCCCCACGCTCCCCGCCTGCGTGTGAATGTGGCTCCCGTCTGCCGCATCATCTCATTTCGCATTTTCAAACGCTGCAACACGCACAGATCTCTCCAAGTGCTCCTGCATCTCAGTCCACAAAGCAGGAGACGTTACGCTCCGAGAATGCGGAGAGGAGCGTGCACCCTTGAGCGAGGCGGGACGCCAAAGCACCCCACCCCGCCTTTCAGCAGTGCGTGGTGCATTGCAGATACGGCGAGGAGTGAGCGAGGGCGGAGGAGAGGTGAGACTGGCAGTCGGGGGGGGGGGGTCACTATATGTGCAGTTACAAGAGTTTGTAAGATAAAAAAAAGACAAGCATGTGTGACCCAGCTATTATGTAAGCACCGTCAAATAATATTTGGTCAACAAAATGTCCCTTTCTGGTGTGAAGGTGAGTGGTAACCGAAGGCAACTGGCGCCGAAGCCCACGTTGAAGCCCCTCGGGAGGGGAAAAAGGCTCAACACGAGCAGGTTATTTGAAGCTGGACATGTATGAGGTCATTCACCCTTTTAGGATGCTCATGAAAAACTCTTCCGACTACATTGTACTTAACAGGGAAAATGTCTCCAAATTACTTGGATGACAATTCCTCCAAATCATTGATTGAACATGTTGGATGACAATTGCGGCATTTGGGAAAACTGGAAAGTAGGAAAGAGCCCATAAACCAGATTTTAAAGCATTTCAATCAAAAAGTAAACAAAAAAAAACACAATTACCATCTCATCATATCCATTCATAATTCTGCCCCAAGATGTGATGTATAAAATGAACCTAACACCGTCGTGTTCTACGCAGAACATTGAAAAAATCCTGAGCAAAAAGGAGTCATAACTTGAAATACGTTTTCACTCATCTACTTTCGAATTGGTACGGTGGAAAACAATAGTGTGCCGCCATCTAGTGACTGACAGTGGGGTTACACCCAAAATCAACTACAGGCAACAACAAATTTGAGTTCCAAAACTGTACCCCACCCAAAAAAAAAAACGTAACCAAACTGAACATTCAAAAAAAGAAGAAGGCTTGTTCTAATAACGACTTAAAACTAACCTAATGAAAAACACTCAATAAAAACATACCGTAACAAAAAAAAAAAAATCCCAAACGACTCTCACCCTGCTGCCCACAGGATGCTCCGATGGGAACATCTGACAGATCGAAACGTGATTGACCTCCATTCTTCTGTATATTTAGAAGCCGACTTGTTTATGTTGTGCGTATATTCCTAGCAACAGCACCTGCCCTTGTGTGAAGTATCAGACTGGGTGGGATTTATGCTGACTCAGCGAGAGGCAGCTGAGCTGCACCTGCTCGGAAACAGCATTATGAAAAACAAAACTAACATGCAAAAAGAAAAAAAAACTGCTTGGAAGTGGTACAGTGCAATAAAGTGGGACCTTGACATACCTCGCAGATTTTTTTTTTCCAAATTACAGCCTTTGTGATTTCAAAATTGCATTCTATTACATTGTCATGTCGATTTGAATCCGATTAATTCCTCATCCCAAGTTACAAGCACAGTAACGGAACAATTAAACTCCTGAGTTAAGGTACTATTATAATTTCATTTACCTGCGCTTATATTCATCCCTCTCACGTTTGACTTTAGCCAGGACATTGTAGAGCGCTCTGATCTCGGGGGTGATGGTGTCGATCTGGACACCGACTCCATCCGGGTGCACCCAGGAGACCCCCGGGCTGGTCAGATGCTCCGACCCGTACCTGCGAGCGGGATTGTAGGACCAGATGGTGCCCGGTAGGAAGCGAGGAGCCGTGGTCACCGAGCGGCCGCTGGTTCTGGACACGGGCAAGTCGGTGGATGGGGACGCCTGGCTGATGGTGATGGCCGGGTGACAAGCGGCGTCGGTTTGGGTAGAAGCTGCGTTGTCGGGAGCCAGGCAGGACAAGCTTGTGGGCCTTCTGGCTGAGTTGTTGGTGTTGTGGAATGAGAGCGAGCCGGGTCTGAGCGGGATAGCCCCCACGAAACCCGTCTGCACGCCGGCCTCTTGCGTGTGCGGCCTGCAACCGCTGTTGGCCTCCCCCGCCTGCTGCAGCTGCTTCTCCAAAACCTTGTTCCTGCGCTCCAGCTCGTGCACCTTGGCCAGGAAGCACCTGAATCTCAGGTTGAGGGTTTTGAGCACGCTGATGTTGGAGCCCAAGTCGTTGCGCAGAGCCATGGCGGCGGGAGGATGGTGCACCGTGGGATGGTGGTGCTGATGCTGATAGTGGTGCAGGTAAGGCGAGCTCTGGGAGGGGAACTCGGGTCCCGGATACTCGGGACCGGGGAGCTCACCCAGCAGCAAAGACGCCGGGTCCGGAGATCCGAACACGGCGTCCGGTAGGAGGCCCGAGGGGGATTCTGGGTGTCCGGAGGCCTGATTCGGCTGCGGATGTTGTTGGAGATGAGCCGGGGCCCCCAACAATGGATTCATGCTATGGTACGGGAAACTAAAACGCTGCAGATCTGGCATGAACACGAGCGGGATATGTCTCTCTTCAAGCAGAACAATGTGAATAAAACCACCGATGAAAATAAAGAACCGAGGCACTGAGATACGCAGCGTTTACCTTCTTATATAACTGTCTCGGAACGAGATTTATCCTCGCAGATTAGAAGAAGCGTTTCACGTCGAGGAAACTGCTGCTGCTGTCGCCTCAACTCGGTGACACACGGTCCCCAAAAAAACAGCAAAAATGTTCCCCAAATGACCAACACGGAAAACGGCGACGCGGTGGAGGATTTGTCCCTTAAAAGGCGAATACAGGCAGATGGATGAAGGAGAAATCTGATAAGAGCGAGTCCCTCCGAGTTGTGGCAACAAAATGTGACCGCAGGACAAGTGCAGCTGATTCAAGCTTTACCGTAATGACAAAAGAACACGAGCAGCACGTCCGTGTAACTCTCTTTAACGCACCGAATTGCTCCGCTTCAACCAAAATGTGAAAAATTACTGACATTTTGATCAGGAGTTGTGTGGAAATTCTGAAAAAATGTAGCCGACCTAAAGTGACAAAGAGAGAAATTATCGAAGGTCTATTTACATGCGATACTACGTCAGGCAATGCGGATGTTGTGAAAGTCTGCCCCCTAGGAGGCTGTGAGTGGTATTGGGTGACGTCACAACAATAAGATAAGATAAGATAAGATAAGAAAACCTTTATTAGTCTCGCAATGGAGAAATTCCCAATTCACGCCGCAGATGCTATCTACATATAGATATAGATAGATAACAAAAATATATATATATAGATAGATAGAGATCTAGATCTATCTATATCTATCTACATATAGATATAGATAGATAGATAGATAGATAGATAGATAGATAGATAGATAGATAGATAGATAGATATTGGTTTCTGCGGATCATGAAGTCAATTAAATTTTTAATTACAGTATGAACTATTGTACAGTAAACCCCGGCTCCAGCATGAGTTCTGGGTTTTACTCGTTTGCTGATTTTTTAATGCAGTTTATAATCTCCTTTTTATTTGAATTCCACTCTCAACCACCAGATGGCGGTACACCACGATGTTTGACACAGGTGCTTGTAGGTGAAATAAGAGCGAAAACGGGAAGAATTCCACGATCAGCCTGCTTTTCTTCTGATTATTGAATGTGCGACTTAATTTTGCTCCATGTACAGCACTTTGTATACACCAGTGGTTGTTTTAAAGTGCTCTGTAAATACAGTTGAGTTAATCCTGTTTTTATGTCTACAGAAGGCAATGGCTGTAGGTTCATTTTATAACGTGCATCTTTGGCCTTGACCCGATTATCTAATGCATGACCAGATTGTTTGGAAAAAAACAGCACTGTACAGTATTTTTGTCTTATTCGTTGCTCTTGCTCCCTCTTACTATACAGTATTTGAAAAAATACTTTAAATGCTATCACACGATGCCTAGGGAGTATTTATAAAGGGAATTTGTATATCATGGATTTCACTTATTGTGAGGGTACTCTGGAACATAACCCCGTAATGGAGTTTGGGGGCGGGGTTACTATATTTGTGTTTTGGATGTATGCTTCTAAGGGGCGTGGCCTAGTTAGCACCTTGACAGCATTGTCTTTTTTGCATATGAGTTTCCCATTCAATAAATGGCTGACTGTGCATTGGTGACTTTCTCTCTCCTTGCCCACCTGCAAGGAACATTACAATATCTGACTGTAAAGGCATATAACTTTTGTATTTGTGTTACTGGAGTTGAGCACAAATGCCACAAAAGAGGCCGCGAGTCTCACAAAGAGGACTTTTTATTTCTCCGCCGACTGCATCGCTGCAGTACCACAGACACTCAACACCTTCAACTCCTCACGAGTGCAGAACAGGACATTTCAGAGAAGGAACTCTTGACAAACAATTCCTTTGTGATCTGTGGAAAGGTGGGGGTGGGGGGGTCTCTCTTCCCAGGCAGCGGGGTTAGTCTAGTAAACGCAACAAGGCAGAGCACCACTTGTACAGCGTTAAACCTTTTTTTTTTTTTGTTGTACATGTAGAACTCTGATGTGGAGAATGTGGCAAAGTGCAGAGTCGCCCGACTGGGTTTACTCTTTGGAAGCCATGTGGGCCATCAGGTCGCACACGCGGTTGCTGTAGCCAAACTCGTTGTCATACCTGTGAAGAGAAACAAAGTTGTCAGTCATTGAGAAACCATAAGAATACTTTACTTTTTTTTTTCGAAACAAGTATCTGTACTTGTCCATTCAAGATGGAAGACATACCAGGAAACCAGCTTGACAAAGTGGTCATTGAGGGCAATGCCAGCACCAGCGTCAAAGATGGAGGAGTGTGTGTCACCGTTGAAGTCTGTGGACACAACCTGCAATGGGGGAGGTCACAATTAGCGATTAAAAAAAAAAAAAAAAAAGCGACTAAAATTGAGTACGACGCTCACGTACCTGGTGGTCTGTGTAGCCCAGAAAGCCCTTCATGGGTCCATCAGCGGCAGCCTTCACCACCTTCTTGATGTCATCATACTTGGCCTGGAGAAAGCAGGTTACATGTAAGCCAAGTCAAGACGAAGCAGCATTGGAACAAAATGTCCAAGATTGTCTATCTGCCCGATGACCGATTTTAACGTTCCCTATCAGACACGTTTAGCAATGGATATTTGATACATTTCAGTGCTAGGCAGCGAGGGGCAATTGAATTAGCTTCCAGCCTGAACGGGCTGCACGTGTTCAAAAGGAGTCGTGTTGTCACCGGATTGACTTTTGCAGGGTTTCACTACCTGGTCGATTTGAGATGAACTCTTTTCTGCCTCAACAGGCTGTGCCTACGAGTGCAATGTTTATGAAGCAGTTGTATTGCCACCACATTTTAAAACACTAAAGAGCCAATATAAATATTTTTTTAATCGCTTCAAGGCAGCAACAACCAGGGGGTGCAATTTATTTGGACTGAACTTACATCCTGCCTAAACGGACTGCTTAGGTGTTCAGATCAAAGGGGTGTGCGGTTTGACTACATCCGCAAAGGAGGAAGTTCAGTCTTTTCAGTCCTTGGGAGCAAACGGCTGAGAGCACATTTCAGGCCTAAAAATTTTCCTGCCAAAACAGGTTGGCTTCAAAAAATGTTAAGTAAATGTAGTTGTGTCTCAGCAATTGCTTTGCAAACTATTTGGAAGCAAGGACACAAGTTTCCCGCCTGGACGGGTTGCCTACTACTTGCCTCTGTAATGATGCCAAAGTAAATTCATCTGCATGTCATTACCACATCTTAAAGCACTTATGTGCACTTGCCAGCCGCGACCAGTTTACTTGACACATTTGTGCCCCTTGGCAACTCGCAGGAGGGTACCATCAAGGTCAAACTAGTTTTCTGCCTAAACGGGCTGCCTACTGCTTCTGACTAACGTTCGTATCAAAGTAAATTTAGTTGGGTTGACGCAACGGGACGTGAACAACATTAGATTCCTGGCACGAAGCAGCAGTGGGCACACCAGCTTTGGACTAAACTAGTTTTTTGACCAAACGGGCTGCCCTCAAACTGGAAGCAACCAGGGAGACGGCAGAGTTTGGTTTAACACTTCGACTCGCCGTGTCTGTCCACAACACTCGCTGGTTGCAAATCAAATCAATTGAGCAAAGAAACGCACACCGTCCATCTCTATTTCCGGCTAAGGAGGACTACTCACGGGTTTCTCCAGACGAACGGTGAGGTCCACCACGGACACGTTGGGGGTGGGCACGCGGAAGGCCATGCCGGTCAGCTTGCTGTCAAACAAACAACATGTCAACTTGCCTCAAGTCTTATTCATAAACGGTTAGGTGCAATTTTGTTGTTGTTGTTGTTGAAATTTTACCCGTTGAGCTCAGGGATGACTTTGCCGACGGCTTTGGCGGCGCCGGTGGAAGCGGGGATGATGTTCTGGCTGGCGCCGCGGCCGTCCCTCCACAGCTTGCCTGAGGGGCCGTCCACGGTCTTCTGGGTGGCGGTGATGGCGTGAACCGTGCTCTGGCATGCAGAAACGACACCTTAGGTTAGGTTCAGCAACAGGTGGCATTTTCTGAAACGCCACAGCTACAAACGACAACGCATGGCAAAATGTGAATTGCGCACGCTTCTGGAAGTCAAACAAAAACAAAGCAAAGACATGCTTGAAATCAGTGTCAAAAATACGCTGAGGGCAGTGCTTCCCTATTATAATCGTAGTCCCCTTGGACGCAACTACAATTAGTTTAATTTGTCTCGAATATTGTTGTAAATACACCTCAGAATAACATTGTAGTTTTGCGAACATTAAAAGAAAACAAAAATGAAATATAGATCAACTTACAATGAATAACTATTAATATGTTTAGTCTGTCAGGGAAAGCATTTGAAGTGCATCGATTTGCCTGTAATTAAAATAAATAAATAAATGGGTGCCACTGCCACCTTCTGGAGTGGATGTGCTATTACACCAGGTCACATGCAAAATAAATAAATAAATAAATAAATGCGTGCCACTGCCACCTTCTGGAGTGGATGCGCTATTACACCAGGTCACATGCAGCAAAAAAAAAAAAAAAAATTAGGGTCATATAGATTGCTATCTCTAATTAAAATTTGACCAGTGTAATCAGCCTCTCCAGTGAGTACGATGTTTTTATCTTTCACTCTTTCATTGTGAAGAGGTGCATGAAGTCCCCGATGAAGCGCCCTGTCACCGTGTTGTCAAAGTCGTCGCACGTTGGGATGCTCACCATCAAGCCCTCAATGATGCCAAAGTTGTCATTGATGACCTTGGCCAGGGGGGCCAGGCAGTTGGTCGTGCAGGAAGCGTTGCTGCCGAGACCAAACAGTTGAAGCATGAAAAATAGACTCGCCCGGTACAGAGAAGCGGCATTCGGACACCACTCGCAGTTTCTCACCTGACAACCTTGAGGGAGTTGTCGTACTTCTCGTGGTTGACCCCCATGACAAACATGGGCGCGTCTGCGCTGGGTGCGGAGATGATGACTCTCTTGGCGCCGCCCTTCAAGTGGCTCTGCGATGAACGGATGGGATGGACGGATTAGCCATTTTGTCATAAAAGCGCTACGGGGGCAGATGAGACCGAGATATACGTACGGAGGCCTTCTCGATGGTGGTGAAGACACCAGTGGACTCCACCACGTATTCAGCACCAGCATCGCCCCATTTGATGTTGGCGGGGTCCCTCCTGCACAAGACACAAAGTTAGCACTTAGGAAGACAATTGATTCAATTTGCCCAACACACCACACATGCTACTGAAGACATTTATAAAAAAAAATCCCCTTTTTAAAAAGGCCGTTTTGGACTCACTCGTGGAACACGGAGATCTTGTGTCCGTCAATGACCAGCTTGTCACCCTCAGCCTTGACCTCGCCATGGAAGCGGCCATGGGTGGAGTCATACTTGAACATGTAGACCTAAAAAGGGGGGGGGGGGCAGCGGCAGGTTTCTAAAATGAAAAGTCCGACCAACCTGGACAGCAGTTCAAGCCCCGAAACCTAAAACTCACCATGTATTCCAGGTCGATGAAGGGGTCATTGATGGCCACAACCTCCACCTTCTTGGAGTGGAAAGCAGCACGCGTCACCAGACGACCAATGCGGCCGAATCTGACGAAGAAGACAAACACTTGAACATTTTAGTCTGGCCTTGAGGTGGCGATGCGAGCTGCACAATTAGAACAGGGGTGGGAACACCATTGCTTTCTCAATTTTAAATTTGGACTACCAAAACTCAAAGAGCAACATGAAATGGTCTACGATTTGATTTTGTTACTGTCCAGAAGGGGGGTGCCACAGGGTTCTGTGTTGGGCCCCCTCTCATTTATAATCACTGATTTAGGTCTAAATATGCCCGATGCAAAGGTGCGTTACTATGCCGACACTGTGACAATACATCATTATTTATCGAAGCTTTCACAACGGCTGCAGGTGTCAGTGCTTTACAGAGCATTCAACGCAAATTGACAATGACACACCATTATGTAATGATAATAGTGACTACTCTGGATAGACTATTTTTCAGGCTGTCGAATCTCTGCACTAATCATGAGTTGATTCTCTTGAGACTTGTTCTCAAAGCTGATTTAAAAAAAAAAATTTTTTAAAAAATCAAGCTGGTGTCGTATTCCAGCTGTCAAAAGTTGCCTCAAATGTTTGCCATAGTGTTCTCCCTCAAACAGCCTCTTGGCCAAGACTTCCTTATCAAAGAGTTTTTTTCATCTCAGCGGGATATTTCCCGGTTCAATGAAATGAAAATGGTACACAAACATGATCGAGGAATCAAGTTTGGAGGGCAGGGACCGGCAGAGGAGTGCCGCACAGTTTTTACGTGCAAGACCCTCAAATGAGGGTCCAAAGTCAAATGTGCCAGTTGGCGTGATGACGACAAGCGCTGCTTTTGATCAACACTTGTTACTTTTTAACTGTGGAGTTCAAAATACACTTCAGCGGATGGGCGGATCGATGGCAAACATCCAAGTGAGCCAATGGAAGTTGGGGGTTTAAAAAAAAAACAAAAACATCTGTATATATGTTCAACTGCTATCTGCTAAAGGTCAAAGTGCAGTTGTGACCGGGACGGCTGCATTTAATCAGTACTATTATTACCCAACAGCGCACATCACACTGTGAGGCTTCCATACAAACATGGAAATCTGCAGTCATCCACATCGGCGGGGGGTGGGGTGGGGGAAAAAGGGGGTAAAAATAGCTTGACATTTTCCCTTGAGTGTCCCAAAGGCTCACTTGCGAAGGCAGCACAGATTACATTGCAACACATGTAAGATCCCCAAAAAAAAAAAAAAAACTTACCCGTTGATACCGACTTTCACCATTTTGCCTGAGTTGAGCGAGTCCTCTGCAGAGGATAAAGAACAACAAAGGCGTTAGTGAGCAGAACAACATTTTCGATCAATCAGCAGCTGCTTCCACTGCATGGTCCAATTGTAAGTACAAAACAAAAAAACAACCAAAAAAAAGGCTGGGAGTTGGGGGGGGGGAATAAATTATGCTTTCCATTACCGTTTGTGAGATGCCTGAATCTATCCTGCGACTCCAGGTGAGAGTGGGGGAGAGCAAAGTTGAAGTCGGCTTTTTATGGGGAAGTGGACTTTGAAGCCACGCCCCCCACACCGCCCTTTTTTTTTTTTTTCTGAGGGACACCACACACCCCCTCCTGCCCTTCTGAATGTCAATGTCAACCAGGGCACTATGCAGCTTGCAACAGGGCCTCTTTGCGGGTGCTCCAGGAGACGCCACGATTGTGCACGTCGGCAACGCCCGCCGCGGTTTCATTTACGCCTTAGGGTCCATCGCTGACCTTCTCAGTACACACACATTTACACACATGCACAGGGGCAGGCGTATAAAGAGGCAGCAGACTGCGGATCGGATCTCTTCCTGTATTACAGTGACATTTCATGTCCAAAGACCATGACCCCTCCACTTTACGCTCTTATCTGGGGACGTGAACTTTTGTAATCGTATAACAGGCATGTTGTCAGAAATGTAGAAATGAACTCAAGTGTTAAATCAGTTTTTTTTTAATTTTTTTTTTTAGAATAGGCCAGTGAGCTACTCATGTGCCACACCGTGTGGCTGATGCCTGGTGTCAACACTTATTCAGCCTGTGTAAAGAAAAGGTCACATTACGCTCATCCATGTGAAAAAATTCTTCCAATTTGAGTATATTGCAAAAGTGCCGCGAGGTTACACAGGGGCCTCGCAACCCGAGTCTTGCCACATACTGTACAACGTGCAATATATTGACCTTTTTTTGTGTGCGTGTGAGTGCACGCACTATCAGCTGTGTGTTTGCAGACGTGCCATTGTACACCAGCGGCGGCGGCGACGTGCACCCCGGTACAGCTGAAGAACCAAAAGCTTGGCCGCGTGCGTGGCGCTCCACAGCTTAAGGTCAAAGAGGGGAAGTAAAGGGCAGGCTAAGATTAGACGGCGGCTGACTGCTTCACACTTGGGACGCTCGACTTTGGGACTACTCGCGGGAAGTTGTGCTCACAGGAAGAGCAGAGTAAGAAGCGGAGAACGTTTTGAGGGCAATTTGTTTCAAAGAAACTCAGCCTACAGACGAGAGCTCACACGTTCATGCCAGCACAAGACTTGAAGAGGTTGCGTTCCCTTCTGCCGAAGAGGACATGCCCTTGAAACGTGGCGCTTCAAACACACCAGAGAAAGAGGACAGCCCGATCCCCAAACCTTAATCCAATAGAGAAGAGGCGGGAGGCATCAGAATGTTTCTGGGGCAAAATCAGGAATTACAGAGGAGTTGTGGAATGCAAGCGTCAGGAGTATTCAAGTGCCACGTAACACAGGCGCGAATGAATTTTCAAGAAAGTCAACATTCAAGTATCTACTCTATTGTATTCTTGAGTCTTGGGAGAGCAAAACCTTCAAGTCTCGCTTCAATTTCTACAGTCCCATGTGGATTTTGGAAAGAAATTAAAGCGAAAAGAAGGTCATTAAATGTCATACTTTATAGTGTTTTGGGTGCCTTTTTAAGGCTGTGGTTTATGCCCGTCCAAGATCCTTTGACGGGTTTATGCAATTTAAACCCAGTCTAAAAAACCGGTGACAAGTTTAGGGGAGAGCAGCTCGCACATCAGTGAAGCAAAACTGAGCACAACTGTAAATTGTGTTAAGCTGCCATCTAGTGGCTAATGAGAGAAATGCACGCATTGGAAAATATGATCGGTTCATTCGGAACATGGGCGCACCAGTTATAACCGGGTGTGCACACTTGTGCAACCACACAATTTCTGTTGTCTCTTCACTTCATTTTTTTAGGTAATATTTCTTCAAATGTGAGCATGAATTATCTTTCCAGGTGCAGTCTTTTGTGGATTGCTAAATCGCACAGGTGTACCTAATAAAATGGCCAGTGAGTGCCTAACCGAAATGGCAAAGAGAGACAAAGGTCAAATCTATTTATTGGTGTAAATCAGAAGAGGAGGTGTAGACATGATGGGCCGGACAATTCTACAACTTGTACTTGGCACAAGGATTCCAACACACCACAACGATGGGCCATTACAATCGCAATGGGGGGAAAAAATGCTGCTGGATGTTCAAGATATTTTGAAATAGTGAAATACGACAGCGCAACGATGAAACAGCTACAAAGACGCTGGAAGCTAACGCCGACAACAGCACGGTGACTAACGCGCAAACACCCTTGACCTTCCTCGCTGTCCCACAAGGATGACACCAGTCTGTCGACTAACAACCCAATCCGCTCATAGACCCGATCCGGTCCAGCTTGAGGCCGAAGCAACCTCGGTTCCACCCCCTCCGCGAGCGCTCCGACTCCACAGGTTTCTGATTGGCCAGGGCACCCCGCAGGAGGCGGAGCCAGGGCGTCTCCGGCTGGACGTCCGCCCATTTGCCAGGAAACTCGGACGCTTTGGCTCCAGAGGACAAGGTGGACTGCTCCTCGGCCGGAGTGCTCAGAAGGTTCTCCAGGTCATCGAAGGTCAGCAGGTCGTTATAGCGATCCAGGAGCTGCTCCATTAACTTCACCGCAACACAAATACAAATTCAATAGAAGGGAGTCTAACTCAATCACGGAGACATTTCATTACTTTCCCCTCTCCATCCTTCAACAACCTCCTTACCCGCCGGGCAAGGACTTAAGTAGATTTTTCAGGCATGTGTAATTCACTTGGGGATTTGATTTATGAATGACTTTTTACTATTACTCGCTACATTTGGAAACAAACATTGTTATTTTTCTCCTGTGTCAAACACGTCTGAAAACTAGATTTAGATTTTAGGGAATTAAGATGCTCACCCCCCTCCCCCGCCCCAAAAAATATGAACAGCAACCTGGAAAAATCTATTTATGAAAAATGCTTGATGTTTGTTCTAAAAATTATTGGAAAAATCTAACTATGAAACAAAAACATCTTTTAGTGTTCAATAATTCTGACTGTACCGTAATCCGAAAAAACACAGACAAGGTGTATTTTCCTTATTTATCATTAGCTAGAGATGCGCCAATACTGACTCCAGTATCGGTGTGTCTGTATTCATACAATATGTGAAACAAATGCTCCGATACTAGGACTCCAACACCATCTTGAGATAGTGATATCTATCTATCTATCTATCTATCTATCTATCTATCTATCAGTGGTTCTTAACCTTGTTAGGTGCGCTGAACCCAACCAGTTCATATGCACATTCACCGAATCCTTCATTGGTGAAAAAAAAACCCAAAATATGATTATTTATTTATTTCACAAATTCAAGACATATTTAAAAAAAAAAAAAAAACACATTTATTAAAAACAGAAAAAAGTAAACAATTAGTATACGTTTTTTTTAAATTGTGGACAAAATGAACCAGCCAGTGATGGCCAAGCAGGCGTGTCATAACTAATTGACATCTTGAGTCGGGTGTGTCTTAACCTCCATGGCAGAGGCTCTGTCAAACCCCTGAGCCCGATTCACCGAACCCCTGGGGTTCCATTGAACCCAGATTAAGAACTACCGATCCCTCTCCCCCCTCCGTGTGTGTGTGTGTGTTTGTTTTGTGGGTACTTTTGGCACTTGTGCCCACTCTACCTGAGCACTCCCAGGGGAAGGGTGAAGTGCGCGAGCCTGAGGCGTCCCCATGGGGGCCAGGATGAGCAGGCTGGCTCCGAGCAGCACGGAGCAAAGCAACATGGTGGCCGGGGTGAAGAGCACAAGCTGGACCACAGGAAAACGCAGGGGCTGCAAGAGATTTGGACAGAGTCATGGGAGTTTTTTCCTGGCTCAACTTGATCATTAGGACAGGGATGTATGACGACGACGATGACGACACCCCCCGTTCCCAATACACACACACCGCCGCTATCTTATTGGGAAATTTTTAACATGTATTTAATTGCTCTTTGCTTTCTTTGAAACACTTTAAAACACTACCTTGCCGGTAAAAGTATTCATTTTATGATACATTTCTGACCAAAATGACACATTTGGCACAATAAAATTCCGAAAACCGATTAAAATCAAGTACAATCAAAGTTATTCTCCAACTTTTTTGTCCCTGTCATTTGACTGTGTTACAATATATTGCCCTTTAGTATTTCACTTTGCAGGGAGAAAAATCTGCAAAAATTGGTCAATATTTTTGGAATGTTGAAAAATCATTCCCTTTGCCTTATGTTGTCATGTGTTAATATATTTTAATACAACTGAGAAAAAAAAAATTTAAATCTAACTTTTTGGGGGATACGTTTGTTGTACTCTATTCTTCTGGTCTAAAATATTGGTATACAATTCAAACAAAAAAAAAAAATAGGATTGAACAGACCGACTCAGTGTAATGCTTGCAGAAGAAAGATGAAGAGTTAAGTTCTTCAAAAGGACAAGCAAGTGTGAAAAATATACTCTTGGGGAAACAAGTAAAAAAGACTTAACTGATGATACAACTAACTTGTTTCAAGCTACCAAATCAAAAGAAAAAAAAAATTTTGATTAAAATCTGTATTAAAAAAAAAAAGCAAAAAAAAAAGCAGAAATCTCTCGCTCTAGGATTAAAAACCAATTCATTTGAAATAATTAAACACAAGTTACCAAATCAACCACGAACACGTCTATATATTTAATTTTCAATCTGTTATAAAAAATTCCCAAAAGCGATGAATGGCAGGAATTCATTTAAAGAGTCCCAGAATGCATTTCCTATTAATCTGAACTAATTTAAGAAAAAAAAAAAGAAAAAGTGAGTGAAGGAACGGCAGAAGCAAATGCGCCTCACCTGTTTGTTGTGCAGCGCCTTGTGTGCGGATGTCTTGTGCGCTCAGTGGCTCTTCTCCATCGTCGGTCTGGGCGACCTCCCACTTGAGGCACCTGCTGAGTGCGTCGTCACTATCTCACTGGCCTGGCCCCGCCTCCTCTTCATCCTCCTCCTCGCCCGCTCTGTGGTGGGATTGAGATGATGATGATGATTTTTCTCCCCAGCCCACCCCGCCGCCTCCACTTGCAAGTTTGTCGTCCTGGCATCAACTGGGATGCTGGGATTTGTTTTTTTAGGAGACGCCTAGTTGATGGCGAGTAACAATGAGCAAACACTTTGCTTGTAGAACTTGCATTTCATTTTTTTTCCCAATTAGCTGTTATCTAGTTGAGTATTTATTTTCTTGACGGCTTTTTACTTTTACTCCCTACCTTTTCAAATAGATGTCTGAACTTTCTATTCATTATATCGACAAAATAAACTCGTCGCTTTTCTTGGACATTGGCAGATGACAACATCAGCTCTTATTGGAATCTTGGGGTGTGTCGTGCATGTTTAAAGCAACTGTAGTTTAGCCTTTCAGTCTGTGAGCTGAATATTAACGCCACCAATTATCATCTCTGTTGCAGGGCTTGAAACCTTTAAGCCGTGGGTCGAACACAAACGGTGCAGCATCAACATGTACACCGACAATATAATGGTACTCGAATTCCTGTATCATTCTCCTGCGTAGAACCAATAAAAGTGCCTTAATAATGATCTGAACTCAAGAGTTATGATTCCCACTGCAATGTGATTGGCTGCTGCATCCAGGCACAAGTGCATGTAATAGCCAATCAGATTGCAGCTGGGCTATAAGCCAGGCACATATAAAAAGTGGTTTTATTATTGTCATTACTGCATGTTTTGTGTCAAAAAAGTAAAATTGTTGAGTGCCATTTTGCTCAATAAAATACCGTATTACTTTACAAGTACATTTTTGAGTCCACTTTGCTCCTTTCAATACAATGAAATTTGCCTTTTTGGTTGTCGATTCCCCGCGAGGTAAAAGCGTCGCGCTCGGCTGACGCAGAAGTAACATCACGACCCATTTTATTTTTCCTATTGTAGACAAAGCGCATCCATCTCTCCACCTCTCGTCTTCGGTGTTTCCCAGCGTGCACCGATCTCCCCTCGCCTTTGGGGAAGTTACAGTCTGTCAGCGCCATCTGCTCGCCGCTACCACCCGCCGCCAAATTACAACACCAGCGAGAAGTTCAACAGCCTCTCATTATTTCAACTACGTCCTTCGGTTCATCACCTAAAACGCAACACATATTTGGCATGAGGTGGTTCATTCGAGACCGAAACTCAGGTGGCGTCGAATTGCTAAGCCCGCGCTCGGAAGGGGGCTTTACATAACTGCTCATAAATACATACAGAGAGAAATTCACCCCTCTCATCTTTTTGGGTGAGGACAACATGTGGGGGTAGGCAGTAGGCGAAAGGGAGAGATTAGCAATCATGGGAGTGAGTGAGGGAGGAAGGCGGTGGGGGGAGGGGGTTAAACTGCCGTGCATGTGATGTCAGCAGAGAGATGAGCACCGTGGGAGGGAGTATTAAAAAAGTAGGCAGCGGGAGAGTGAGGAGAGAAAAAATAAAATGAAAAAAAAATCACCAGGCACAGACCTAGAAAAGATTGATGAGTGAAGCGAGGCCAACCTGCGATGAAACCAAATGTCAGATGAGCGATGGGGGGGATAAAGGATTGTTACTATCCACACAAAAAAGTGAGAAGGCATAGCTGATGTGATGGAGGCAGCGCCGTGATGGGTGAGGCAGAGGGAAAACTGAAACGAAAAAAGGAGCAGCGGCGGTGACACATCACTGTCCAAAACGCACCGAAAGCCACTTGGAGGGATGCTGTGAAGCAGCGGTTTTCAAAGGGTGAGGCAAGCATTCATTTTGAGGAAAATATGATTAGGGTGGTGGGGTGGGGGATAATTAATAAGAATGAAACATACTCCGCTGCCTAAATCAGTTATTCGCACCACCGTGCTGCGCAAATAATCCGGTTTCATTGGATTAAATGCTCCTCCGCTAGATGACACAACGCAAAACTAGCCAGTCATGCAACAGAATCAGCAGCCCCAGATTTTTCGACACCGAGTAAACAGAGACAGCTCATCCCTCGAGTGGAGTAAACTACTGACCACTACTATACGACGGAAATTTTTCTCATGTCAAATATCACAAGCCTCGGTTTAGTGTAGGTTGGCGATCGCTGTCTTAAATCTTCTGCGATCGGCTCAAAGTCATACATCTTTAGATTGACAGTGCACAAAATGACCCCAGATGAGTTCGATTGAGCGCTGTGCCACACTTTGAAAAGCTCTGGTCAAAAAGTTCGGCTAGTAACACAGCAGACGGCTTGGACGGTGATGCGACATGACGACAACCACTGCACAGGAGTTTTGGAACAACCACATCGGGTCCAGGTTTATTACAAGACATCTTTGATGCTATGTGGGACATTATCCGGATGCCAGTCGATCCTACGTAGGTAAAAAAAAAAAAAAAGGAAGGGGGGGTGGGGTGTTAAAAAACACTTCAGTTTCTGAGGCGAGCTCGTCGAGATGCGCGGGCAATGGGCGTGGTGACTTTGGGGGTCTCGCTCTCTGTCAGCACAGCATCTGGTGAAAGAAAGATTGGAGCGCGATGAAGATAAGGGGATGACAGATGGAAATCTTGCTGGATCTTGGGAGTCTTCCACACTTTTTGTGTGTCTTGTGACATCACGCCGACGGGAAATTATTTGTGCTTAATAGTAAAATCAGCGCAACAATTGCCCACATTGTACATCTTAGTCTGGTAAATGTAAACACCTTTCATGGAAAGCAGTGAAACATCTCGCGCTGTTGTAAAAGAACCTCAAGCAACCCCAAGTGTTCACAACCGCTGGGTGGTTTAAGTTTAAGTCAAGTCATGTCGACTCACCCTCTTCGTCCTCCTCTTCATCACTGCTGAAGGTGATGACGGGCTTCTTCTTGGATTTGCGAGTTCTCTGAGGCGTCACGAAGCTGTCCTCGCATTGGCTGGAAACGGATGACTTTGACTGACCTGGATGCCGTGAAAAGACACCAAACGCGGAAATATTAGTCAGACCAATTTCAAAAGAGCGAATATCAGCCGATGAAATCAAATCGGCCAAGCCCGAATAATGACAGTGAATATCGATGAAAAGAGCAAGACCAAGCCGAAGACTCGGCAACAGACCTCTCTTGGACCTGGCTCGACCCCTGGCAGGCATCGGCGTGCGCGCCGCCGCCTTGTCGGTGGCTCGTCCCTCTTTTTGATTTTCGTCCTCCATCTCGGGGCTTTCCACGTTCTCCAGGCCTCGCGTGTGAACAGCCGTCAGTCGCTTCTCAAAGTCATCCACTTGGCCCTGTGACACAAATCAGCGGTCATTAAAGCCAAACGAACGCCACATATTTTGGGTCCTCCGTGTACGGCGGAGTGCCATTCCTGTGGCAGTCATAAAAGCAGACGCAAAGTCAGAATTACAGGAACTATTTGGATGACAAACACCGCTGCTCATCGACTATTTATTAGGGAGTGCTTTCACAACAGCCGATGGTGACGGATTCTCGCATTGAAGTGCGGCACCTTGAACTGGATCTTGGCCCCACGGCGCAGTTTGGCTGTGATGGCGAGCAGAGGCTGGTAGACGCCGGGCTCGGTCAGCTTGTCGCTGTAGCATTCCCAGCATTCCTGCAGCCTCTTGAAGCCACGCTCGCACATGGACAGCAGGGACAGCGAGACGGCCAAGTCGCACCACTGACGCTCTGTCCTGCGAAGGGAAGAGAAGATAGATGAATTTGAGGGACTCAATCTGATTTAGAAAAATTATGCAAATGGAACACCGTTTGGGATCTTTTACTCATGGATTCGGCTTTGTACCGGCATTTGGAACAAATCACATTTGCCATCTATAATTCACTTTGCCAGCGAGTAATGCAAAATGTCCTTCCTTCGATGAGGGATGAGTCAGAGGTGGACCCAAGGCACAGGTCCGGCCCCCATTGTTCCACCTCCGTTCCCCCCAACCGCACGCAATGACTGCCTCCGTGACAAGATGAGTGAAGGCTCTGTCAGTGTGTGATTAATAGGTGAACTGGCATTAAATGTCAGCTTGCCTCTTCACTCACACACACACACACACACACACACACACACACACACACGCACTTACGCACACGCCCACCGCCTGCGTGCTCACAATGGGGCCGCGGCAGGGCACGGTCAAAAAAGACAAAAAGACGGCAAAACAAGAAAGCACAGCACGATGGCCACGCTCTCACCTGGCGGTCCTGAAGCGCTGACAAAGTTTCTCCACCAGAGACTCGGTCTGTCTCTCCTTGGTGATGTAGGAGAAGAGCTGTCTAAAAATAAAAATAATTAATCATAATAAAATATATGTATAGCAAATTGTCGTCGTGGATAAAACACGCCCGTTTTTGTCATTTTTTACTTTAATGTGGTGTCTGCATTTCGGACATTGTAGACATCGAATGCAGTGCAAAAGTGACGCAGGTTGAAATATAAACAAACTAAAAAAAAAAAAAAAAATCCCCAAGTTTTTCCTAAAATGTAAAAATACGGGTACAGACTCGGAAGCAACATCTATGAACAACATGTGTTGTTCCACACACTTGTTCGTGCTCATGCAAATGTCAATAGTCGCTTAAACTATTGCCAATATTTTTTTCCTGTGTAATACTCAGGAAAATAGCCGGTTTCAAGGCAGGAGTTTTGTAGCGCCCATTCGCTGCCTATTTTAATGAACCGACGGGGTCACAGGACTCGGAGGTCTGCCAATAAGCTAGCAGTCACGCAATAGGTTGCCGAAAAAGATTTTCGCTCTGGGATTGTGTATCTTGGGTTGAATTTTTTTAATTAAAGATCTTAAATTCTCCCTCTTCTGCAGTCTAAATTTACCTCACGTCTTCAGCCAAACAGTACGCGTTCGTTTGATTGTCGTAAGGACTGCAGCTCGTGATTTCTCCGGCGATGCTCAGCTGAAACACTGATGTATTCTTATTCTGAACAAGACAAGCGGTTTATGTCCTCCTCACCCGTCTTCACCATGGTTTAGAATTTCTTTGGGTCAGGACAATAGCCTGACTTAATATGAAAAGAGGAGGAATATTATATGGCTAATTTTATTTATTTTTTTTTTACCAATTCAGTTTCTCATTTGGCCCCTTATGGAAAATGACTTGCCCACCGCTGCCTTAAATACTCAAGAATCTGACAAGTCATCATGCAGCCAACCTACTTCATGACGGTGTTGAAGTCCTCTGGGCTCATGCCCCTGTCTGGGTCAGACAGACGACTGATGATGTCCGGAAGCAGGTTGTAAATTGCGTTGTCCTGATGGTGGGAGATGATTGGCATGTCGCAGTGAGCGCAAACCCAATTATTTTCATTCGAAACTCCAACGTGTGGGAGCGCGCACCTTGGAGGCCAGCTCGTTGAAGAAGTTGAGGGCCAGGCTGGCGATGTGCGGCTCAGGGTCAATTAGCAGCACGGCCACCTCGCTGACTTGCCCTTTGACCTTCAGCACGTCCTTAAGCACCAATTGAGTCAGCACTGTCACGGCCGTCTGCCTCACCGAGGGGACCTCGTCACTGAGCCTGCGAGAGGAGGATGTCACATTAGCATAACGAGACAACCCTCCGGCAAACGCGATATTGCCAACGTTGCCATCGGTGGAGGGCGGTCATTTTAGCGCGGACGTCGCTGACGGGTACGCATCCTAAAAAGATGTTCTAAATTCGTTTTGGTGGAGTGCCAAGGAGTGATGATTCCACCAGTTGCAACGAGAGTTCAAATCTTTGATGGGGGGGATTAACATGTACATGCAGGGTCAGAAATGAGTATCAAACCATTTCACCCAGATCATGCATTTGGCAGTCATTTAAATTCAACAAGTCCTGTCAAACAGGTACATGTATGACTTCAAATTTCAAATCTTCATCACTTCAGGGTTTCATGTGTTCTGCTTGCTTGTACATAATGACAAGACCAAACTATCACAGAAATGAGTCGCGGGTGAGCTGGATGCCATCCCAATATGATTGTTTTTGGGAGAGATAATCTAAAAAGTTTGCCTCAGTCAAACTCACACCACAAAAGAAACTCATTAGCCGTTCCTCATTTATGGATTTCTGGCAGAAGATGAGAAACGCGTACACGGCACTTGCTCATGCCAGTGCAGGGGCTTAGCGCGGCAATGAACGGCGTAATTAATTCTTAATACGCTTATCTGAAGGCCCCAAGGCGGCAGCAGCTTCGAGGAGAGTGGAGGTGTTTGTGTGGGAGACAATTAGAGAGGGGGAGGACCTTATCAGGTAGGAAACACTGGGAGGGCAATGAGGCAGGAGAAAGGAAGTGACTGTTTGACAATTCCCCAACACCTAAACATGCGCATTGTAATTAAACTTCAAATGGAACGCCAGCTTCTAAGTTGGCCGTAGGGCACCGGCTTTTACTTTTGTCTCCATTAAAGTGTTTTTAATGTCAAGTTCTTGACACGAGTATAAAACATTTCATTTCCTTCCTACTTTCTCAGCCACTCTGCATAATTACACCAGAGTGACCGGCCACAATCTGTTACATGCTATTAATTAAACGCTTGATGAGACAAGACCTTGTCTACAGCGCCACAACCCACACTTCATAAAGTGCTGGCCTTGTTGCCATAGCGACCATATATGAGCTTGACCACGCAGCCATCGCAAGTTAGTTACAAATGGAAGAAGTAAACTTCTGCTCATTGCGATTCAGTGGAGTGTATTGATAGTGGCAAGGCGCTGAGAGGGATGACACACTTGAGGCATTGCCCCCCCCCACCCCCCAAAGTAATTGTTCAAGAAGACAATCAGCACCACCGCCAGCGCAGCTTAGCCATCTGGTGTTCTATTCTGTAAGATCCCACAGCGGGCCTGTAACCGTGACAAATGAATGTTTCCGGGGGTTAATTGGAACGACAGCAACATGTGGTTTTTGAGACATCGGGACTTTACCTGGCGTATAAATTCTGGGTCCAGGGCTCCAATATGTTAGGGAAGCGGACAGTGAGGTCTCCCAGGGCAATGATGGCATTGGCCCTGACGACAGGGAGAGTCGAGCGCTCCAGCACTGTAAACATGAGACGGGCATTCTCCTCACAAACCGATGGGCTGGAGGAAGAGAAGGAAAACACCAATGATCATGCTCATAATTGGCATTTTCGTTTTGAGAGAACAAAACAGCAGGCGCTGCGCTTACCTAATCATCATGTACTGTGACAGGGCCAGACAGGCAGCTGCGGTGAGCTGAGGGTGGGAATAGTGTCCAGGGGAGCTGCAGACTTTCACCAGCAAGGGAAGGAATGCACTCAGCAGGTTCTCCTCTTCAGGAGACAATATGGCGGGTGGGGTGCAAGCAAAACGCACCGTTAGTATGTCAACACAGCGGCGTGCATTTAATGAGTGGCTAAATCCAGGACACAAAAGGAGACGATCGGATGCAGTCGTTACCGGCCAGTAATTCCGTTTCGCAGATCTTCCTGATGAGCTCGGCCTCCGTGTCTTCCGCAGAGGCGCCGACCAAGCCGAGCTCCTCCTCCATTGCGCTCTCATTTGCCGTTAGCTGTTGCAAAAAAATTCAAGGTTGACGGAACCATTTTGGGTATCGACAAGCTCAAAGCTTGACACTTCATCACACAGATTTCAGACCAAAACTGCTGGTAGTTCATTTGGAGATTGTTTTCATTGCTTTGGACCCCACAAATATAAATGCTGCTTTTGTCTGTCAATGTCTTAAAGACGGCGGAGGTACCAGGGGTGAGGTAAAGACTGAAACTTTTTTTTGTTGTTATCAAAAGGTCTAGTACAGAATTTGTTCACCTTCAAAAAAGCTCAGTCAAAAAAAAAATACACATATATATATGTATATATATATATGCAATAATAAATAAAAATAATCAGTCATTGAAAAAAATAAAAATCAGAGGTGCCGATTCTGAACCAGGTATAACCGCCAAAATGTCGCGTGCTCGACTCGTACACGCAGCAGTCATGGCGCACCTTTGCTTTGCTGGATGGACCCTTTTCTTTCTCCTCTCTCTCTTCAGTCTCGAATCGCCGCCTCCGCAGCTCACCGCTCACGCTGCGCTCGAGGTGAGCCACCTGCCAGAAGGCCACGCTGCCACACAGGGCCAACAGCTGAGCCAGGCACACACAATTCACTGCGGGAGAGGAGAGCAGGTGTCAAGCAAGAGTGTGGTGCTGGGGGGGAGGGGGGTGGGCGTTGGGGGAACAAGCACTCATCAATGAGAGTTGTCGTTTACCTTGCTCACCAGACTCTTGAGATCCCTCTTGTGGTTGATCGACATCCTTATTAACCTCGGCGCCTTGGGAAATTTGATCCAGCAGGAGTCTAGCGGTGCGTTGGATCAACCGGGAGCACAGCTGGTCAGGGGATTCGGCCAGAAAGTAGGTGAGACGGACGGCTTGCTCCATGAAACTCTGCCAGTGTGGGTCCTCCATCATGGCACCTGGAAAAAAAAAAAAACACCCACGGGCAGCATATAAAACGGACCGAAAAAACAAACACACTCAGCACAACTCTCAAAAAGGAAAAAAAAAACCTTTCGATACCTTCAGCAATTGCTTGTGTGAGGCGGGTAAAGAGCTGATGTTCTTGAGGGAGTCTGAATGGGGCACCTCTTGATTGCTAATGAAAGAAACATTGTGTTTTATTAACATTGTAGCAGTCTCGTTATATCAGTATCTCATTAAATAAAGTAATAAAATAGTGTGCATTTACTTCACGAATTTTAAATGTATTACCGGGAATGTGTTTTTTTTTTTGGAGGGGAGGGTCAGTTCGATTTTTTTTTTAATGCTGATTAAGAGTAAAATTGGGACACCGTTTCCAAAAGTGCAGTCATTTTTCCCCCTAGCACTCCTAAGTTTTTCCTCCACCCCTTACCACATAAGCAAAATTCCACGAATTAGCTGTAATAAAACCTGCCATCTTATTATGATTGGACTCATCTACAGCTATGTGCACAGTGAGAGGTGTGTGCGGCTCCCAATAGGTCAGTACTCTGAATATCTGCAAACGTAAAGCTGGGCAATAGTAGGAATTGAGAGGCTTGGTGTTGGCTCTTCTCTTGTGTAACAATACGGCTTACCCTAACATGATCGGTGATGCTGCAGATGGCGATCACGGTGTCTCTTGCCAGAAGAAAGTCCTCCGTCACTTTTTCTCCCAGCGCCACAGAACAAAGCGTGTCCAGATTGCTGAGGACCACCTCCCTTTCTGCCCTGTTTACAAACACATCCATGCAGCGAGGACATGCGGGCAAAGCGTACGCTATTATGCAAACGTATGGCCTACATTAACTCAAGCGCTGTGAGGCGGCCTAGCCGATGTGCAGCCGCCGGCCGGAAAATGTACGTGGGAAGCCGGGTTATAGAAGAAAACGCGTGAGGTTTAATGCTTGTGAATGCTGCCGGCTGGATGAAGTCAGGCAGCGGTGTGGGCGGACGTCAGATCGTCTCGCTTTACTCTCGCTCACTCTTCCCCGAAGCGATGGAAGTCTTTGAGCGCGAAACACTAAAAATATATATACAGACGTATGTATATATTCAGAGAAATGCACTGGCAGCATTTCGATGTATTTGGTTGCGGCTGCGATCGCACAGAAAAGCAACTGATGATCAGAGTGTTGTTACAAATGAGATGATTTGCCGGATGACGCAGGAGCAACATTTTCAGGATCGCGGCTTGGCACGATTGTCATAAGATGTATATTTATGTACAAACTAGATCTAATTGACATGTTTCCTCTTGGCGCAACCCCCCCCCCCCACCCTGGCAGGTTGGCATGCTGTTCCTGAACCAAAACTTGATGGCAAACTGTGAGCATTCTCCTCTTTGCAAAGTGTGCAAGTGACCCGAAAGAAGTTGTCGTCTCACCGTGCAGCCATGCCCAGTAGGAGCACAGCCGCTCGCCTGTACAAAGGCGAGCTTTCGGTTTTGCCAGTAAACCTTTCCCACAGAACCTGCACCACGGTCGACTCCAGACTGTTGCCGCTACCAAAGAACTCCTGCACCTACGGGGACATCGTTGGAAGTTTCGCGGTTGGGTGACTAAATTAGCATCAAAGAGCACGATAGGCCTGATTATCATTCCGCATCGACGTACGGTCACGAAAGAACCACTCACTATTTCCTCCAGACACTGAATTGTTCCCAGAGATGCATCCACCATCAGTTCCGACAGACTGTCCACAAGAGTCTGAGCTTTCATCCTGGAGGGATAAAAGAAGATTAGTTTTACGCTAGATTTAGCTACTCGGCTAAAAGTAAATTGACACAGGGAGACGCTTGCCCAGGGTAATTTAATTTTTTTTTAAAGTACAGAGGTCCACGAGGGTAAAGATGCTTCTATGTTACTGGCGGTAAAAGTGTTGTCTGGACCTGATGGTGTCTCCTTTGGGGTTGAGATAGAGGCGCCGGTAGGCCTGGACGACAGCATCTTTGATGGCCGAGTCAGTCGACCAAACCAGAGGCAACATCTTCCGCACACCACTGAGAGAGTTGGCGACGCCAAATTCGCAGACTGTAACGCAAAACTGCACCGCCTCCTGGACCACTAACAATAAAATCAACACACGTATCAGACACGAGCACTTGCAACTCTTGAAAACACTTGAAGACATTCAACCTGAAGTTGTTTTCCAGTACAGCATGGCGTTAATGACAGAGATGGCTCTCTCCACTTGAAGGGCGAAGGTTTCCGTATCTCGGAGGTACTGCACCAACATCTCCTGCTTCTTCCGCTCCGCATCGTCCGCCTCCTTCTCTCCTTCTTTCTGTGGCGTGGGAGGCAAGTTTTGACTGTGCTCAGGGGTGTCCTCATCAGAGCCTAAAGAGAGGGACGAAAAAATGTTTGTGTCAAAATTTCAGGATTTTTTTTTAGGTTATCATCTGGAGATATTCACTTAGTTTGTCCATATTTAAAATGACAATTTTGTCATAAGGTTGGTTAGGAAGTGTGTGGTCCTGTGTGACCCCTGCCCCCTCCAACGTTTGAGTTGTCCAATCCTTGGTTACAGTACAGCGTCATTGTCATAGAGGCTGCTTTCTGACATGCTCAAAATGCCATTTCTATTATGAACTCGTCAATTATAATTAAGTAACATAAAAAGATGTCAAAGGAACGTCCTCTGACTATAATGACACACGGGAACGGAATTTTAACAGAGTTCAGAAGCCGAGAGCATTTGTGCTGAGTGACGCACAAAGTGAAGTGAATGAAGGGTTCACCTTTGAAAAGACGGGCCAGCGTGTCCATTAGAGTCTCTGCGGTGAGAGCGGACACGGCGGCAAACATCTCCGATTCGGGGAAACGGCTGAGGGCCTTAATACAAAGACGCACAGCATTCCTGCACAAGCGAGAAGAAAACGGTCACCCATAAATGTTGTGCCAGTGGCGACCTTGGCGCTTACCTGTACTTGTTGACTCGCAGGTACTGAGCAATCATCACTGCTGTCGCCCTACAATCCTCCATCTCGTTTACTTCCTTTACATCCGCCTCCTCCCCCTCCTCATGCTGGCCCTTCTCAGAATCACCCGAGCGCTCCAGCTCGGTGTCGACAGTGATGCGCAGTTCAGGCTCCATGGCGGCCCACAGCTCGGACGCTTTAATCACTGCAGAGACAAGTGGACATGGCGACATGTTCCAGACCCATACCACATTTTTTTAAAATTTAATTTTACCCCTCCCACACTTTCTGAACACCTTATAAAAAAAAAAAAAAAAAAAGTCCCCACCACATGCTTCCAAATTATTTCGATAGAAAATCCAGTATGCATATGACAGTAGTGTCTGAATATGCATGTGCCTTTAAGAGGCAGGAAACAGCGCGCCAAGGAATGTCCGGGCAAGATTTGTAGCAGCTTCTTTGACAGTATACTAAGAGTGTATTTGAGTTCTGTTTGTAGACTCTGGCTTTCCTTTCCCACATGCAAGGGCATTGCAGAAAATATACCAAAAAAAAAAAAAGTTGTAGTGGGGTAACTTTGAAATTAGAAAGTCCTTGTTCTTGAAGCCAACCACGTAAAACTGTGCGGTGCCCTCATTTGCTCTTACTTTGTCACGTTCCGGCGCACCAGCGCTTTTCATCTTGTTGTACGATATATGTGGAATTGTGGTCTTTACGAAGCCTTTCCAATTATATTGAAAGGCTTTCTGAAGAACAACCCACTACACTCACATTAATGAACCCACACAAACTTGAATGGGTTCCGTTGAGCTGGGAAACAGGTGTAACTTTATGACTCAAAGCACTTAGTGAATGCGTCCGAGACATTTGATGCGGCTAAAAGCGGAAGCATTGCGTCAGGCTCATCAAAAGTAAATTCTTGCGGCCGAACAAAGAAGTCGGATGACGTATGGGCACCCGGAGGGCGAGCGCTGTGTTTTTTAAAAGTGAGATGGGAGAAATGTGATCACAAGGAGATACTTCGGCGCATGCCCTGCTGTGTTGAGGTAAAATGCAACCGGTATTTGGCCCTCAGATTACCAAAGACGCAACTCATTGCTGACCGAACAGTGAAAACAGCTGGGCGAACTTCAGGTACCTCTCCCCACACCCACACCCACACCCACACCCACACACCCACCCACACACACACACACACACGCACACACACACACACGCACGCACACACGCACACACGCACACACACACACAAACTGTGGGCTTCATCCACAAAATTGCTCCAATGTAACTTTCACAGGAGAACGAGTGGTGGAGCCGGGTTACTGTCGGTGGGCCCTTACAGCAGAGCAACAAGGCTCCCTTACACTGCCAAGATTACCCGCCAGTTGAGGCAAAAAGCAGCCAGCTGTTGTTCACTCAGCTCGTATTCGCCTTGGTTTCATCATCGGGCAACCGGGCCGAGACCACACGAGGAAAGAAGAGTCCTCAATCAACAAGAGTGACGCTCACCTGGCGCGCCTCCGTGCAGCTTCTCTTTCATCTCTCTCAGCTTCGCCGTCTCTTTCTCCAGAGGTTTTTTCAGATCGGCGCTGCTCAACTGAAAGTCACAAAGACTTCCGTGACGTTTTGAGAGAGTGAAAGGGAGGGATTGTAAATTCTTCTGACTGGGGTTACCTTGCAACTGTAAGGGTTGTGCTCAATGAAGGCTGCCAGCAGCTGGATGGCGCTCTTGACCACATTGACGGATTTGTCCATCAGTCTGCCCACGGCGAGGCCCATCACCTCACTGTACCGACACAGTGGCAAGGCCTAAGCACGGGAAAGGGCGCCAAGTCAGTAAACTCAACGTCACAAGATGAATTTTCAAGACTCGGGGAGCTTACTTTGCTGTTGACAATGCGCGTGTACACCTGCAAGACGCGCGCCCTGACGTAAGAGTGCGTGTCGTGCAGGTGCTCCTGCACGGTGTCGAAGAAGCGGTCGCGGTCGGCTTTGCCGGACTCTTCCAGTCCGTCTCCGCACAGGACGCGCACCAGGATGTCCCCCAGGACCTCGCACACGGCCACGCGCATTGTGTGGCTCTAGACGACAGTGAGACAAACGTAGAAGTCTTCAGAAGGGAGAAATGGCGGTCGGGAGGATGGAGGTGTTAAAAATGTGAAATACCTCTCCTTCCAGGTGGGTGATAAGTACACTGATGTTGGGGATCATTAACTCGGGTACAAGTGCACTGAGTTCAGACAGGAAAGATGAAAATGCTTTGACCCCTGACCCCTCCCTTGCAAGCTCCTCACTTGACTTCTGGCCAATCTCTCTGAAGAGGGAAGAGAAAGCGGGGAAAAAAAGTATATATATTGTTCATTAGTTTAACCGAAAGGCAGACACTTATAAACAAATACTTGGACCCCGGTTCAAAACTGAAAGGCTATTTCAAGCAAAATGGACATGGACATAAATATCCTCACGGGTGCTTTGTAATAAAAAAAAAAACAAAACAATGTTATGAAACGCACTGGAACATAAAGAAAGAGTGGAAAAGAGAGAGAGAGAGAGAGAGAGAAGGGGGGGGGGTATGTTGCGACATTCCTAATATATTTACCAAGCGGCACTGGATCAAAAAAATAATAAATAATCATGTTTTTTAATATAGCAGTGGAAAATGTTTTTTTTTAAACCCAAGTCATCGACGATTAAAATAATCGTTAGTTGGAGCAAAGTATGCAAACTAACCTTATGACTTCCCCGATGATGGCCCTGACACCATATTCAGTGCTCCACACAGACACAGCCTGAGCAAACACCGATGACAACTGTTCAAAGTGTTGCAGCAGCTGAATCACCTTTACACTTGCACCTGTTGGGCAGAAGATTAAAAACGCACCAAGGTTATCCCAACGCAAACAAGTGTGCATTGCTCTGACTGGCCATGTAGCATGCATGTTAACATCTGCTCCATGCTACTTGCCAGTGTTTTAATTTTTTTTTTAAAACGGCTTGTCCCTGTTGAACAAACCGCTTAAAGCGCATCGCTGAGTGCGGCGCTGTTTTATTTCCAATTCACTCAAGTGGCAGCGTATCTTGACAGAGCCACTTACAAAACATTTCCATGTCGCCGTATTTCAACAATGTAGGCTTGCTTGGATAATTCTGAGCCTTACCGAGGAGGTGATTGTACTTCTTGATCAGCAAGCCGAGAAGATGGATGATTCCCTCCCTGGTGGGTTTGCTCTTGACGTGGCCGATGGTCGGATTCTCAAGTAGCTTGTAGCAACAGCAAGTCACGCAGCTAAGGAAAGGAAAAGACAATGAGGAACTTGGACAGTATTTGGAGAAAACATCTGCACCACAACCTACAGCTTTGCACAGTCACAACCTGAGCGCGACATCAATTAGCATTGGTCGGTACTGCTTTTATTATTCAAATTGAGGTGGCAAAACGAGCCATTGTATGTATTTGTTAGGGCAAACTATGCCATTAAGTACCTGGTGAACTCTTCTTCAACAAGAGAAAGATTCCAGAGGGAGCGGATGTCCAACTGGATGAGCTGCCCGAGGGCCTGAAGAACTCGCTCCCGCTCATTGTCCCACTGCTGGAGTCCCTCACCTGTTTTGGCCTTTTTGCCACTCTGAGCAAAGAGTGCAACGACTTCAGTGTATCACATGGGACAAAAGGCAAATTTGTAGTCGTCCAAATGCCCTCAGATTACCAAAGACTGTAGCTCATGCCTGCCAAACCCTCTAAAGAGACTATATCCTCTTGCCAACTGCTACGTATAAACTCATACATCACACACGCACAAAAACAGACAGACATGCACACATTGTTTGACAACTCCTACCTGTCCCATCCCATTACTCTGAGGAGGACAGAAGTTATAGAAGCAGCGTCAGTCTTTAGTGTAGGTGGGCCCTTACAGGAGTGAAATATAACTATGACACAACCAAGATTACCCATCAAACAGAAAGCAAGTGATCATAATCCCTGGCATGACAGATCACCCTACTGCCGTGGCTTCATCACTGGGCATTTGCACACATTAAAAATAAATAAAATAAAAAATAACTTCCTGAAAAGCATTTGTCCAAGTCTTACCTTGCCAGGTGCTGCGATGAAGCTCTGCCTATAAGAGTCACTTTCAAGACTCTCTGTGATTTTGCAGAGCAAGAAGACGCTCATTTTCACAGCATTGAGATTCTCTTTTCGCTCCGCTGCAGAGACCGAGGTAGAGATGAGCAATGAGGGGAGGGAGGTTGACAGGCTGCTGACAACTGCAACAAAAACAAACAAGAAATGTACCACCGGCCAGTCTTTTAGTCGAAACATTTAAAACCTTCAACGTGAACAATTCTAACCTTGCACCAGCAAATCCAGAGTGTCCTCTTTCACACCCAGCTCCACAGAGTTGGAATGCCTTTAAAAGTCAACACCAACTTGTACGGTTAATAAACAGTCACGTATGTAACATGGAATCATGGTTGTGTACAATCCTGATGCATGGTGCTTTACAGTCTCTCTGTTAACTGCTTTGCTTTCATCTTTTGGCATGTACACGCAATTACAACTCCTTCTTTGGGGAGCTAATAATTTGCGGCCGGCTGTGCTGATTCCAAGCAAACAGTCGAGGGTCACCGCATCCGATTGCAAAGATCAGTGCAGTTCATTGAAACCATCACTTACTGTAATACACTGTAGGCTGTGTCAAAGTGTTCCAGGATGCACAAAGGGCCTTGACTTCTCAATGCAGTCTTGAATTCTGAGTTAAACAGAGGCAAAAATATAAGATTGAGAACATCTTTACACATTAGGCTGTCATGAGAATCGCTGCTTGCCTATCACTACATAGTGCGTTTGCCATTTTGTACTGCTGTTCCAGTAGTGAGTATGCCCTATATTAGAGTCTCAAGATACATTGAGACCCTAATATAGGGCATACAGTGCATCTTGAAAAGCAATATATATCCCATTAGACACTGGACATAAAGTGATGTCTGCAGCAATTTAATAGGACACAGTGATTACAATACGGTTACAAAGCATTTATTTAGTTCATAGCGCCGAGGCAGTAGGATTTGACAGAATGATTATAAAGCACAACCTTACGAAGATGACCACTCACTGTGAAGATGGGACGGTAGTTGTTTTGGGGAAAGCACATCTTGCACGACGTACTGGTTTACCCCCCCGGTCTTGACCAGGTCACCCACGCACACGGGCACAAAAAAGTCCCACGACATGCCTGTGGAAGAAAATAAAAAAATTGCGTCAAAGCTAAGGCTCACGTTACCACTGGAAACCACATTTCTTTGTTCTCGCTCTTGAACTTGTCGTTCTTTGAATGACTCAACAGAAAAAAAGCAATAATGGGGTAAAAACGTAACTGAAGGAAAAGCTTGAGAAGTGCATTTCACCAAAAGTATTTTCAAAACAAGTTATCGGCGCTGTTCGTGAACCAGGCATGCTAACTAGCATTTAGCCACGTCTGCAGTGGCGACATTACTGGTAAATGCATTCAATTCATTGTTATTGGACGAAAGACTCGCTGTGTAAGTTTTACACATCTGACTTACCTTTGAAATTCGCTGTCCCGTTCACCGCGATGTCGACGGGAGCAGACGAATGTTTTTAATAATGTTTTGGTCCACACTTAGCAAACTGTGAAACCGCTCTCGGATTTTCAAATTTCTAGCACATCGCGCCAAATCGTCAGGGCTTAAGTTACGTCATACATACGCGACGTTACTTCGAACGTTTTAAAAAGGACACACAACAGCGCCACCTACTGGTGAATGTTTACAGTAAACTGACGAAACGACTTCGATTTAATGTGAACACCTTTTTAATATATGCGTCAATCTTAATTTCTGAATATCAATTTTCTACTGAATAACATATCTATCCATATTCCATTTGGTAAAATTACTATACACTCTTATTGCTTTGCCACATCCACTTCGATCACGTTCTTCCATGGTTTTAGCCACTTAATTCAACACAGTGGATAACCTCGACTTGTGTGTACACACTAATTTTTAAAACATGGCTTGAAAAAATACATTTGGCAAAGTAACAAACCAAAAAGCAGAAAATTCTGAAGATGGAGCACTTTTATGTGAATGTACCACAGAACTGGGTAGTAATGAGAAGCCATAAAAAACACGCAACAGACAAGTTTGAGGTAGTAGCTGTATTCAAATGATTGATAACACAGTCACACCCTCCCCCTTGTACCAATGTTCCAGCTACATCGATGACAATAGTTTTCACAACATGCCTCACACTCGATCAAAGATGCTAAAATAAAATCATCACTACCAAAGAGATGACTTATGCCTTCAGGATGCCGTATTTTTGTCCTCTTACCTGGAAAATATGGGTCAAATTTGTTCTCCGTGGCATAAAAACAGGAACTATACAACAAAGGAAAAAGATAAATGGCCACATTGTTTTCAGAGAAAATACTTTTCGCGTTTCAATAGTAGTAGTACCATGCAGATTGAAACCATTATGCAATTTCGGGGCAGTTGTAGTGTTTATTATTTAAACAAAACGTTTCAAAAAAATCTATAAGAGCACCAATGTAACTAAGAGAAAAAAAAACAGCTTTTAAATACACCTGAAACCATAAATTCTTTACACACAGCATCAAAACAAGGCAAATACAAAAAAAAAGGGGGGGGGGAGGCGAGCACCACATGTTAAGGAAGATGAAAAACAAAAGAAATGTACTAATCCATGAAGAATCCCCCCCTCACAACAGATTAGTGTCTGTTCCGGTACAAACATTTCATTTTCTCTTTCTGTCTTGAGAGCAGCGTGGACAATACCTGTGTGAAGAAAACAGACACTTGGATTGCAAGTACGTAACTATGCAAGTAGGGGAGACAGGAATGGTCAGAAAATTTTGAATTGCATGTTTGTTTGTTTGTTTGTTTTTTTACCATTTGCCTCGTGGTTTGGTTGTCAGACCCACACACGCAAAATGGAACCACTCAATGGAGCACTGGAGACAAAAAGATGCTACTTTAGTGTAATCCGGTGATAAATTCAACTCACACACTATCAATTGTATCCAGGAGACAGCGTTTATGCGCGTGGTCTGAGTAATAAATCACTCAGTGTGTCATTGGTGACCTTATCGATTCCCATTTTTCCTTATTTTTTTGACATTTACCATATTCTTTCAGAGAAAAGCTATTTGCTTACAGATGAAATCATAACAACGGGCCACAAACATGATGACACATTTCCCGAATTTATAGTCTCTTGTCAACTAACAACATAAATTATTTGGGGTTTAACAGACAAAAGTCACACTCACGCCGACTGGCCATTCGGAATCTTCAATTGACCAAAATTCTTTGTAATGTGAGAGGATTTGGAAGTACTCACACAAGCAACCGTAGAACACGTGAACTCATCACAGAGACTCAAAAATGTGAAGCAGATATGCCGAACCTGACGTTGCAAGCTGCCTTTTTATTTTTTTTAAATACATAGAGATGCACCGATACCAATCTCGGTATCGGTGCCGATACGGTATGCTTGGATTTTTTTTTCCCGCCACTCACTTTATTTTGCAGTCGTCACTGAGGTACCGTGGCATCCATTTTCCTAATTGGTTATATTTGGGCTCTACATTCTTCTTCGTCTCTTATCTATGTACGGTAATTCTTTTCCACAGTGCGCCAAATGTTTAGACTAAGACTCAAACAAAAGTACACGGTCTGGAGTTTAAAAAAAAAAAAAAATTATCGGTGCATCCCCAATTTCATAATTTACAATATTTATATTATAATGCCTGAAGTGACATTTTAGGTTTAATAATACTCAACCCAGCCGCGAGTCATCAAATGAAGACATTTCCAAAATGTCTTCATTTTATTTGGCTAGATAAAAATGTGCAACTAGAAAAGTCTTATGTTCAATACCACAATTACAATCTTCTTTGGATGTCAAGCAAGGCTACATTTTTCAGCTTTTTTTTTTCCCCTCGCATAAACTGCACACTTCGCCTTGACAATGCACCCACAGACAACACAGACGTCCGAAGAATTTGTGGATCTTGAGGTTGGAAGAAAAGACGACTCACATCAGTGTTGTCGCAGCCGATCATCTCGCCATAAGACACCTGATGGCATAGACAGTAGGTGGGCTCGTTGGGGTCCACTGGCATGTCCAGCACATCGGATGGGTGCACATTCCCAAAGTTGGCGGAGGGGCTGTTGAATTCACCCCTGATGGCACCAAAAGAAAAAAAAAAAAAGAAAGAGGCTTGTAAGGCCAAATGTGACAAAAAAGCAAAGCTTAACAGCTCAAAGGAAACATACGTTTGAAGGAGTTTGACTTTCTTCTGGGCACTCTTGGGACTGCCGTCTTCATCGGAGCTCTTGACTTTAGATCTCGTTTTAGCAGTCTTCTTTTCCTTGTGTCTGGTGTCCACTAGAATGACACAACCTCTTCGATTATCTGCCTGGGCGCACATCAGGAGGCATCCAGATTGATTCAGCACAAACCTTTCTTTCCTTTACTGGAGGTGGAATCATAATCCGTACTCTCGATCTGTTTTTCCTTCAGGTCGGCTTCAAAACGGGCCAGGTCTGTGTCCAGGCGTCTTATGTGCTTGTCCACCTAAGCATAAAAGCGTGTGATACATTAAAGCAAAATGTGTCAAACTCAAGGCCCGGGGACCAGATCCGGACCGCCATGTCAATTTTTTTTTTTGTTACCTTGTTTACACTCACTCGAATAATAATTGAAAAAATTATTATGGTTGACTCATTTCAGAACTAGTAACCCATGAATTTGTTGTGCTCAAGTAATGCGATGCGACAGTTAAACATTTTGGTGGGTTTTGCTGACATGACGGCCCACCGAGGGAAGACATGACTCTCAAGTGGCCCACGACAAAAATGAGTTTGACCCGCCTGCATTAAAGCATATACACCATCGTCGCTTTGAAACATATCACGGTCTGATACGAACCATCTCGTAGGTCTGCATGGCCAGTTGCACCTTGTCATCGCCAAACTCTTTGCATTTGCTGTACGACTGCTGGATTTGCCTCAGTATGGACAGCTTTTGCTCAGAGGAAAGAGTGCGAGCATTCGATGTGTATTCTTTTGCGAGGGAGTCTATCTGTCCTTTGAGATCTGTGGAAGACAGCGATCTTTTAAAGTTACACCGAATAATTACATTGCTGCAGTCCATGAGTAGATCTCTGAAAAATCTCTTTAAATATATGCATTGAGCAAATAGTGAAAGAAGAAAAATATATACACATAGAAATACACACACTTTTTTAAATGAAATCACATAAATATGAACAACCTTTCAAACTCACATTCAGCACTGAACAATTTAGACTCTGAAGTAGACAATGGCAAATCAATTGCTGTTGGTGTTCTAATTGATTTTTAAAAAACAATTTGAAGCACCACGTACATGTATTTTTTTTGCCACAAACAACATGGCGCAACTATCATGGAAAAAAAATATATTTATTTTGCTGCTGTTGCTACATTGTAATGATACAAAATGAAAAAATGGGCAAGAAATAAAGGCGTGTGGGTAAGTGAGAGGCTGCTGACAAGAATCACCTCATTCACTGACTGCACTCGTGCATTTGTACACATCCGAACTATTATTGTGCATCGGCGTTTTGCACATCAAACCCGCGTTCGCTCACTACTCACCTTCTGTGCGTTGGTCTAAATCCCTCATCAAATTGAAGTTTCTCTGCAACTCGAAGGGCAAGTTCTCTATGCCTGATGTGACAGAAAAATGGGGTTACAAATATCTTGACACAAAATGGAGACAAAAAAAGCAGGCAAAACGAGCTCGCTCCCGTTCATTTGAAGACCGAAGGAGACGAGGTCGGTTTTTTTTCATTCATACCAAATACCATAATCAAGGCCCGGGATGTCTATGCTTAAAGGCTGTAATGATAGACTAAACACGGGGAGTTTAACGTGTGTCGCCATTTCAATGCATTTTCCCCCTAAGCTTTTACTGCGCTGCGACAATCCAGCAAATAGACAGAGCCGGACTGCGCCGAACGGTTGAGGAACACACAAAGGTTCACGTTCAGTCCTTTGTTGGACATCACATTAACGAGAAAGTATTCTGCGGCTGTCGCGCTTTCTAAAAAGTCGCAAATGTGTTGTAGCTCGACTAATAAGCTTACTGTCCAAATAATGCTCCAAATACATCCCCGCCGCCATCTTGGAAAATGTAAACAACACAGCTTCCGGTCAGCCGGGGGCCGCCTCTGATTGGTTGTTTCCACAAAACTGACGCCGATGGAAGATTGCAGTTAAAAGTGCAAATGTCACCGTTTAGAAAATTGCAAGTATCTACTTGATGCGAATTAAATGTACGTGCACATTTCGCGTCGTCGGGTATGAGTCCAATTAACTTTGAAATGGATGGGCATGACAATGATTTAGCGATGAGCATTTCTGCCTCAGTTATGAGCCTCAGGGTTCGAAACTCAGCCCCCTGTGTTTTCCCTGTATCTGCATGGATTTTCTCCATGTACTTGTGGGAAATCATTGACGTTCCCTGTGACTGGCTGGCGACTGGTTCAGGATGTGGACCCAGCTTCTCTTGACCATAGTCAGCTGGAACAGGATTTAGTCCACACCCAACCCTCACATGGATAAAGTATGAATGGATTAAATTGACGGTAGAAGAGGCTGGTTACCATTCCAAGCGGTCCCCCAAATCCCCCGGGCCAGGCTACAGTTTAACTGTGACCCAAATGAGAATAAGCACGATGAAAACTGGATGACGGACGAAGTTTATGGAAAACAAACACTGCAGAATGATGAACGAACATCTTTTAAAAATATATTGTGTCAGGTTTACACAAGAAATCCCATTCACGTACTGTATTTCAGTCAAAGGCCAAACAGAATTGCTTTTTCATTATATAAAAGAAAACCCGACACAAAATACATACGTTTGTAGTTACTTGAGAGCTTTGCTTGAATCGTTTGTGAAGATATTGTTTGATAGCTCCGAAGTGACCCAACAGAGCTCTTTTTTTTTTTTTAATAACCATCTAAACATTTCAAGAATAAAATGCTCATGATCTTGCTTGTTTCTGTGTCCACTTTTTGTTGACTATCTTCCTCTTTGCCATTTTATTCTTTGCTTTCATGGGTGTTTTCCCCAGGTTGGCCTGCTTCTTCCCAAAACTGCTCCGAGTCTTCTTCCCAGCCTTTGGCTTCCTTGCTTTCATCTCTGCCGTCGTCGGTGCATTGGTGTCTTTTCCCGTCACAGCCTCTCCATCCATTTTGGCCCTCTTGGCTTTTTTGGGTCCAGCAGGCGAATTCTTTTTGCCTTTAGCCTGGAAGTGAGGCCCTTTCTTGGCTGCTGTTCCGTTGGTTTTGGCCTCCTGCTTTGGCTCGCCAGCCTTACCGGGGACGCCCTTCTTGGTTTTGTCCACTTTGTTGTTCGGAGAATTGTTCACCTCTGTTTCATCAAGAGCGTCTGCCTTTTCTTTTTCTGTATTAGGGACAAGAAAAGATGATTTATTCATCAATTCGTATTCTGAAAGCCAGCATGCTGTGCGGTGAGCAGCGTTTACCTTCCGCTGCGGGTGCAGCTGGAATCACATTGGAGAATTTTTTAAACTTGGCCACAAAAAAGCCGTCCATGTTGTGAGAGTGGGGGTAAAAACGCCTGGTGAGCCGCAGGGAAGGGTGGAACCGACGCACTTTGAACCTGAATCAAGATACCAATGGGAATGACAATAATCAAATCAAATCAAATATAATAAGACAGAGTGGGTCTTGTTACCTGGTGAAGCCCTCCTTGCCAAAATCCAGTCCGGTGGGAACCAATTTGACATTCCGTTTCTTTAACGCGTAGTCCACCACCCATTCGTTCTCCTCCATCTGGCGCAAGACTTTTTGTCAACCCAACTATATTTGCAAAGTGTGCTTTTTGCGGACGCGGGACACAAACCATGATGGAGCACGTGCAATAGACCAGATATCCGCCCGACGTGGATTCGGCGTTGACCGAGTCGATGGCGGACAGGAGCAACTCTTTCTGCAGGTGGGCGGCGCGCAGGATGTCGGCTTCGCTCTATCGGGAAAGCAAACCCGACGTTGCTGCGATTGAGTAGAAATGGTTTCGTGTCGCAGGAACAAAGTCTCGAAGGTTACAAGACGTTTTCAAATTCTAACTTTAAATAACGTTATTCTCGTGGAATTGACTGAACATTTCAACTTCAACCTGACACAATTTCCCCAATCGAATCACCCACGTCTTGATTGTAATACTCCAACGTAACAAGGTTACAAAATCGGTCCTAAAATACTGCACATGCCATAACCAAAGTCTAAGTGTCCATACATCAGAGAGTAAGTGGCGGTTTACCTTGCTGGTCTTCACAACGGGGTCTTTCGCGATGACGCCTGTGCCAGAGCACGGAGCATCGAGTAGCACTCGGTCAAAGCCCCCCAGCACCTGCGTTTTGCATAAAGTCTTAGCACGCAACAATCAGGAGCAGCGTCCGCGTTTCAAGAAATGCACACCGCGCGTCACCTTTGGGAACTGCCTGCCGTCGTAGTTGCACACCAGCGTGTTGGTGACCCCCAGACGGTGGATGTTGCCCACCACGCTCTTCAGTCTGTCAGCGCTGGCGTCGTTAGCCACGATCACCCCCGTGTTTCTCATCAGCTGAGCTGCGGTTGGCAGAAAAGCCATTTCGCACTCAGTCGAATCGCATTCAATACAAAAGAGTTGTCTTGTTACAGCGTGCACCAACCATAACGTCTTTTGGGTTTTCTCCAACATGCACCGTTTCTATGTGTTGCTTTTTTTAAAAAAATAACCGAACATTCATGCTAACTTCTGCTAGCCCGTCTATAACATTTCACATGATGTTAGCATTAAGCTCACTGACTTTTATTGAACAAGAGTAGATGGTTTGCTTGAACATTTTGGTGTTAAAATGCATGACCTGCTTTGGTTTTGGTAGTAGGGCTGTCACATGGACCGCGATGGTGAAAAGTGACATGTCGACTTTTCTCCCACTTTGCACCAAACCAATAAGAAACCCAGTGTTCAAATAATTCGCCTCTGACAACGACAATCAAAACTCTGGGCTCCTTTTTGGTGATCTCGCTGGACGACAACGCAGGTGTATAATTGGCTCAATCCGTTACCGATATAGGTGGTCTTTCCTCCTGGGGCTGAGCTCATGTCCAACACGGACTCCCCCTCCTGTGGCGAGAGCGCCATGACTGGCAGGAAGCTGGAGGCGCCTTGCAGCATATACTGACCAGACAGGTACTCCGGAGTGGCACCTGTGTCATAACACGGCGACAAAGTCATTTTCGGGAAACATCCCCGTAGTCATTTTCATCTCGGGATAAAACTCCATCACGGTTGACAGGATGATAAACCTACCGATCGGGACAGAGGAGTCGTAAATGACTAAACCCACTTTGGACCACGTTCCCAGTGGATCCAAGTTCACTCCCCTGTTGATCAGGGCCTGAGCGAGGTCCCTCCTCCTGGTTTTCAACGTGTTGGTCCGAATGGTGACTGGTCTGTGAATTTCATTTGCCTCAAGGAAATCCACCAGCTGTGAGTGACAAAAACTTCTGTTGAAATCTCTCCCACGATTGAGGAAATGTTTTTTTATGTGGAGTGTACGGCGGTGCCTTCACTTCCGTGAGAAATAAAATGTCTGCAATGAAAGGAATAGAAATGACAAAATTCCGTTCCAGCGTGCCATTGCTCTACTTCTGGTGTGCGCACCTTGGCCACCAGGGGGCAGTATAATTCAGACACACATGAAAAAGTTTCCGCAGTGACTCGGTAAACTGCAGTCAGATGAATTGTTGAAACGCTTGTGTTCAAATATCAGCGATCAGCATAAAGCGAGCGGACTTTCTGAAAGGCAACGTTTTGCGGTGATTTTAAACACACTTGTTTTAGGTTTAGTTTAAAATGAAATAAACAAATAGAAGTGTCAGTTTTTGTTTTTAAGAATTATTCCTCACTATCTGACGACCCCCCTGCTAGCTGTGACGCGAGCCGAGTTCATGGCCACCATCTAGTCTTCCTTTTCACTCGCAAGTCCCGGCACCAGTGTTTGCAAACACACACGCACCTCCGAAAGAGGGAAGAGCTCGATGAACTTCTCGATGAGGAACTCGTTGTAGCTGTAGTAGGTGCAAAGATCCTTTTTCAGCAGAGCGATGTACTGTCCCCTGTCTTTCCCCGACTCTCTTTTCGACGTGAAGTTACAAAGGACATCAACGTTGTCCTTGATTCTTTGGTGAATCGACTTCAGGTCGATGGGCAGGATTCCTGTTTTGTGCAGGTGACAAACGCAGGAAGAAGAGTTGGGTTTGTATCGTCACTTAAGAAAAACAAAATAGAGCGGCTGGAAGGGAGGGGAGGGGGTTATTTCCTCCCAACACAACGAAAAGTCGCACAATTTGGACCTGGGTGAAAAACATGCCAAAAGTTGTTTTTTTTTGCTCATAATACATGACATCATATACTGTCTCATAAAATGCATGATTTATAATTTTTATTTTTATTTTTTTAAAAGGACCAAAACGAAATCAGGCTGTCTGCGTGAGGTGATAACAAGCAACTTACGGTAACTTCACTCACCTTCCTTCTCACTCTCCTCCGCCTTAGGAAGCCTGAACTGATCCAAGTCGTCTACGTTGGTCTGTAATGTTTCTTCATCTTCATCTGATTTCTTCTCGCCGCCTTTGACGTCGTCGTCGCTGTCCTCCTCATTCTCGTCCTCATCTTCGTCCTCATCTTCGTCGTCACTCTCGAGCCCCATCGTTTGCTGCAGCTTCTTTTGCTTCTTGGCTGCGCGCTCAATGGGAAGAAGCTTGAAAAAAAAAAAAAAGAAAGAAAGAAACAAGCGGGAATGAGTATCTGAGAAATGCTATTCAAATCAGTATGAATACATGTTCAAAATCGCGTTTGTCCTCATTGTGGTTTCAGCAAGTGCAAAAACCACAACAGGTTTTTGTTCCATATTTCCAAAGACATCTACATCGAGACCTGTTCTGTGACTCTGCTCGTCCCCGATTGCAACCTGCTGATGGATGACATTCCGTGACACTTCCGTGGCCACTTACGTCTGCCAACATCCTGACTGTTTAGTATCATCGATTAATTGTTAGGTGCCATTTTGGTTTCACGATGTCAAAACGTGAACAGCGCGACGAAGAGAACTGTTTTGTTTTGGCCCATTCATGGAGCAAAACAGTTGCGGTCAATTTTTCCCTTCAGCTCCTTTTTCGGGAACAGCAAGTCGTGCAAAAAGTACCGAAACATCAAATAGACACGTTTTATTTCACGTACCTCCTCGCCATCACTTTCCTCTTCATCAAGTGCACCATAGTCATCGACCATTTCTTCATCATCGTCGTCGTCATCATCATCATCGCCGTCATCTTCCTCCAGTTCTTTCATTCCCAATTGCGTGTTCATCTTCGCTTGCTTCTTTCCTGCCTTTGGCGGCGGCTGTTCAACTTCCGCCTTCTTCTCATCATAATCGTCTTCTTCCTCCCAGTGCTCGTCGCTGTCATCCTCGCTCTCGGCTTGATCCAGCTTGCGCTTCCTCTTGGCCGGCTTCAGCCATTTACTGTTCTCGTCGGTGAAGCCTTCGGAGACCAAAACATGTGCGGCCATGAAAAGCCACGTACGGAATCCAGAATTTCTTCCTAAACCCAAATGACTACTTCCCTTTGTACGGTTGGTGATTTCAAATTTAACAATTGCAGTTCACTGTAAAATGACTTTGTACAGGAATTTTGAGTCGTGCTGTAGTTACCCTTCTTAGTCTGTTCCTCAGCAGCCTCTTTAGTCTTTGTCAAATTGTTGGCCACTCTTTTTAAGTTCCTGTGAAAATAAATCATGACATGAATGAGTATGATGCAGATGAACATAGTGCACAGTCACGTCATACAATCCAATCATCGCTGACCTTTTCCTGGCTCTTCTCGACAAACGTTTTGGCTGCGATTCATCTGCAGAAAGACAGCCAAAGTCAGTCAAATCAGCGTATACATGACCACATTTATTATCGTTTAATAATCTTGAAAAAAAAAAAAACCACATAGTCACCATCTTTTATAAACTTGGCTAACTCTGTCTCTGCGCCTTGCTGCTTTCTGGCTTTGCGCCCGGGACCTCGCTTCACCTTGATGGTGGGATCCAACTTACGGCCCATGATTCCCCGCTAAAGACACCTTGAAAAGACCAAAATATACAGGATGCTCAGCACCTGGGCAAAATAACAACCAATGAAGATGCAGTTTCCTTGTTCAAGAATCTAAGATCTGATATTGTGCCTAAATTAAGTCATTTGAATTTAAAAATCAGTGGATTTAATTGTTTGACATATGTTATCCATTATCAGTCTTGTGAGATTCAGCAAACGTTTCAAAAGTTTTTCTCATATTTTGTTGACCTTGTTCAGCAAGACCGGTGGGGCTACATATATGAATGCCCGCCAGTTTGATGCAGGCAATGGAACGCAACCACAATAATACATCTATTGTTAAATCGATATCGAGCACTATTGTTTTTGTAAAGTAACATTTTTACCACACAACTCTTGGATTGGATCTACTTTTACCTAGTAATGTAAACGGCGTAATACAGTAGATGTAAAATGTAATTGACATACAATACTATTACTGGTTAAATTCTAAATAATTAAATTACGATGCTCCACGCTTCGGTAAAATAGCAACCACTCGGGATATAATTTCGAAACTATATATTGATTGAAAATGGATTGGTCTATTCGGTAACTTGGAGTAAAGAAGTAAAAACACGGAACAGTCCTTCACAAACGGTGTAGATACATATCAGCCAAAAAGCAATTTGATTTCACGCCGTGACCAAATTGTCCACCGTCATTTGTGCACCTTGCTTTAAAACTGACTACAAGCTACCATTTGACAGAAAGTGTACATTAATCGTGCAAGGATTAGACGCTCTAGCTGTTTGCAAAAAATTGAGTGTAATTAGCATCATTTACACACCGAGCACACATCAATATATCCAACTATGTTATGAGAGCGACCGAATTCTTTGTCAGAAAATCAACAACAATATTTCACTTACGTTTTATCCGACTTCTAATTACAAGTTGGACAAAAGCACACACGTGAATTTCACGACACGTTGTAGATGAACTTCCGGTGCACAGTAGTGACGCAAGAGTGAGTGAAAACTTTTAGCGCATCGACGCACTCAAATTCCTCGGTTCTGATAAGGGCGTGTGTTTTTAAAGGAAAAAAATGCTTTATTTTACACGCTTAGTAAATCCGAGAGCCGTGTAAAATTATATTTTTGTAATTCATTTTGGCGTCCGTAGTCCCCTGTAGTGACGTGGACGTCGTGCGACCGTTGTACACAGGAGAAGGCAAGATGGCGGCCGCCGACGGGAAGAAGCGTGGACTCGAGCATTTGGACGATTATGAACCAAAGCCAGCCAAACATCTCCGCAGCCTGCACGATCGCATGGCGGAGAGGCGTCTTGTTGTTATTCTGGAGGGCGCCTCGCTAGAGACCGTCAAGGTAAAACCTCGGCGAAGTCCTACAGTTTATTGAAGTGCATGAAATATTGCAGTAAAACTTAAGTTTTTTTAATGATGCCGTTTTTAACTATTACAGGTTGGGAAAACGTTTGAGTTGCTGAACTGCGACCAACACAAAAACATCATAATCAAAAGTGGAAGAAATCCAGGAGATATCAGACCGGATATCACACATCAGGCAATCATATATATTTACTTGTCAGCTCTCATGTGAATGAAGCATATCAACATTTGTACCCACGCTACGTCGCGGTATCATGCATAAGAGTGGTAGTTGCATAGTAAGTCATACATAGTCTAATTTACAAATAGTTTGCTAATCACTACTTGAAATAAAATTAGATCTTAGAACCTGCTATGGGAAGTAAACTGAGTAATTTGAATGAGTCGGTGTCCAAGTCATGTTGATCTGCATTTTGTGTGCAGATGAATTGTAAGCATGAATTTTCTCTCAATAGTGTCTGCTCATGTTGATGGACAGTCCACTGAACAGAGCGGGCCTGCTGCAAGTTTACATCCACACTGAGAAAAACGCCTTAATAGAGATCAACCCGCAGACGCGCATCCCAAGAACGTTTCCGCGCTTTTGCGGCCTCATGGGTAAACGAACACTGTTTCAACACTATTTATAGAACACTGACTGTGATACAATAGCGTGATACCTTGATTTTGTGTGTTTCCGACCAAAATTTAAGATTTGCGCTAGACTCAGGTCACCTTCCAGTGTATTCTCCAACAAACACAAGCAATATACCGGTAAATTAATCTGTAGTACAATAATCAATATCAAATTTATTATACGTAATGTTTTAGTCCTATAGGTATATTTTCCCCCCCGAGTTGGAGCCTTTGCAAAATAGCAAAAAAATACTGCCCCAACGTCTATTTGAATTTTGTGAATTATTTGGCCCCCGTCAACGTACTGATGTATTCCCACTTGTTTCCTATTTCAGTTCAGCTGCTGCACAAGCTGAGCGTGCGAGCGTCTGACGGTCCTCAGAGGCTCCTGAGAATGATAAAAAATCCCGTATCGGACCACCTTCCCCCCGGCTGTCCGCGCATCTCCACCTCTTTCTCTGCCGGAGAGGCCGTGTGCCCCCGCACTGTGGTGCCGGAGGGGCCGGCTGCCGTGGTGATCGGTGCTTTCGCACATGGAGCGGTGAGTCGTGCTGCACCCCCCTTTTTTTCCCCCCTCCCCTCTGCATCTGCAGTCAACGCCCAGTCGTTGTTTACTCATCTGCGTCTTTTACAGATAAATGTCGACTACACAGAGAAGACGGTGTCCATCAGTAACTACCCGCTCTCCGCCGCACTCACCTGTGCCAAAATGTGCTCGGCTTTTGAGGAAGTTTGGGGCGTCTTATGATCATTGTTGACCAGCAGCTGATGGGGCAGAACATCAACAATTTTTATTCTTTTTTTGGTATGGATTGGTGGCACACGTTTAACGCGTTGCACCAAATTTCATACGCGTGGACATTACCTGCATCCCGTTTTGTATGATTACAATGTTGTTACAAACATTTTTCTACAGTAATTGCTCCCAAAAAGAAGCCTATCCCATGTCTGTTGCATCAAGATTGTGGAATTTGTATGATCAATTCATACAAATGCATTTAAATGACTTTTTTCTTGTGCTGCTGGTGAAAATAAATGTAAAAGCTATTCAACCAGGACATGTTGTAAAGGCTTCACAAGATGTTTTCCATGAATACACAACAGAACTGCATATGGAAATACACTTGAGTCCAATGGTTGTCAACGGTTGCCAAAGGGGGCTAAAGGGGTGTTCACACGGCAACATTTGCTCCGGTGCTACGCCGGCGCTGCGCCAGTGGAGCGGTCACACATGCAAATTTGCTCCGGTGCTACGCCGGCGCTGCGCCAGTGGAGCGGTCACACATGCAAATTTGCTCCGGTGCTACGCCGGCGCTGCGCCAGTGGAGCGGTCACACGTGCAAATTTGCTCCGGGGTAGCCCCGGAAAACAGCTTATTCCGGAGAAAATTTGACCCACCTCAGGGAGGTGGTGGTTTAAAAAACCCTTAAATCGCAAACCTCTTCAAACAATTGAGAGAACGTGCACTTTCATACAGCCGCAGAAAAAAATAAAGGGACCGCGCAAAAAAAAAAAAAAAAAACCACCATTCTCCAATCGACATCCCTACTCTACTGGGATAATTCATTTCCCTAACAGAGCGACAAGTTAGTCTTCCAATCCGTTTTTATAAGAATATTGGGGACCCATGAGAATTTAAAAAAAAAAAAAAGTGGTCCTAATTGTTAAGTACGCCCCAGGGCACGACATAAATTAAAAGCTCACTTTCATTGAATGGACCTTGACAGTTTATTTTACAACAGAACACAAGTGAACACTGAACATAACTGTGCAAATAATACAGCACGCAAACCAGGCTCATAATAGAAAAATAAGTCATTTTAAATCATCACTTGTATGAATGGAACACAAGTTTGCCTTTGTACACAATGTTACAGCGCAGCGCGGGATAGACCGGTGTTGTTCTTGAAGTGGACAGATGATAGAAATCGGACTTTTTAAGTCTTTATATCCAAATATTTGTATGTCTGGAGCGATCTGCGCTAGTTTCTCCATCGATGACTTAGCAGCTAGGCAAGCCAATGTTCCAGATTGAAAGAGTCACTTTCAAACGGTGGTTTCGAAGCACGACCACGTCAAAGCGAAAAGGTAAGCGGAGCTGCAGGGAGCACAGATTAGCATTAGCTAACAGCGATACTATTGTTAGCTTCACGTAAGCATGGGAGTGTTCTTGGGCTATTGGTGTTTGGCAATGTCATGCGCCACGCAGCAACTCTGTGCAAGGTAAGCAGGGCTGCAAAGATTTTTTGGGGATACAAATAGCATTAGCTTCTGCACTTGATTTCTTACTTAAGTTGTCAATGTGGATGAAACTCCGGTCGTAATTGATTTTGGTAATTTCTCCATGCGCGACGTGCACACGGTTGAGTGTATGAACCGAGGATGTTACCGGTCAAAATGCTTTCGTTGTCCTGAAGAACGCTCGTCTCTTTTTTTTCTTTCTCTCCACACTCTGGGCTCTGCTTCCGACCCACATTCGACACCGAGTGCCAACCGGAACGCACGCGCTCAGCTCTTGAAATCCAGCCCGCCGGTCGTCATGGTAACGAGAGCCCGCCCAGCGATGGGCCGAGCGGTCTGTGGGCCGACACGAGACTAAAACAGGCTAATTTCAACGGGACAAAGTACAAACGTGTTTTGAAGGCACCCGAGAACTGTTTTGAGTTGTGAAAAGCAATGCAGATCGCTCCTTTGAGCACTTTCAGCATCTGTGTGACGAATACCAAGGAGTCGCTTTTGGGCATTGCAGCTTTGTGGGACAAAGACGAGATTGGGCGCAAATGGCTGTGATGAGGAAGGATGGCTCGAAAGGCATCAAGTGGTGGTAGCGGTCAGCGTCACAGTTGACCTGCGGGAGGAGGACACGTGTGAATTGGTGAGATTAAAAAAAAAGCCATTTATAAATTTTATTGATGAATTTCATGTTTGTCAGGAGTTTTTTTTTTTTTTTTTTACCAAAGTAACGGCTGTTGCTATATTTAGCAACTGTTCTGCAGAAGATAAGTTAAGAACTTTTTTTTTTTTTAATTAAATCATTTTGCTTTCACCAGCCTTTGTCTGATCGGAGTGAGTTCGACAGACACAATTACAGCATGTCAGTGCATCTCGGCTGTAACGTGCCCCCAGGAAATTGTTTCAAAAAAAGATCTGGATAGAATAAAAAAAGCTGTAAATTGTAGGGAAGTTACAGCAACGCTCGGAAAAGCTTGAGAAATAAAGCAAAGCCCCGGATGGAAGAGCGAAACTTCTCTCCTGGCAAAATGTGGAATCAGACATTTCATTTGAAGGCCACGCCAATGAAGTGAGGTGAGCCGAATAAAAAAGAAGAAGCACCTGAGAGAACGCCATAAAAAAGAGATGGGCGTGCGAGAATCCCGAGATGGACGTGTCTGCCGATTGCGTCTTCACACTCTGCTGATACGCCTGCGTTTACAAAACATGCTGTGATCCTCTTACACATGTGCAGTACAAATGCAAAAAAATAAATAAATAAAAAATAATAATAATAATAATGAAAAAAACATCAAGATTTCAGACCTCCAGCGCGATCTGCAGTGCCGAAAACTGCACCCACACCTCCTGCTGCTGAGCGGCAAGAAGCCCAAGCGGTTCGCCGCTCTCCTTGTTGGTCACCGAGCGATAGCGGGACCACACGCACTGGCCCACGGTGCCCACCGTCTCGCTCTGGGAGTAAACTACAAAAGGACACAAAGGTGCCGTCATGGCGGATCAATGCGGCTACGTTTACGTTGACATCTGAAGCCTTCTTACTGTCGGGCAAGAGCACGTGAAGGAGGTCTTTGGCCAGAAGGAAACCCATCACGCCGTAATTCACAGCTCTGTTTTAAGAGAGGAAGCAAATGGTAGCTCAGGGATCACATTCAAGCCGCATGCCCACTGACAAGACTTAACAGTCTACAAGTAAAACTCACAGACTTCAAAGTGGAAGAAAAATAATACGTTTCCAGGAAGATTAATCATCTCATTTTTATGGCAGCCCTAAAAATACATTGCAAAATGTTACACAACATCATGACACAAAAGCAAATTCCTTACCTCGGATATGTGGGATGGAAGAGAGGTGGGATAAAAATTCCCATGGGGATGATCAGCTCATTGCCCAGAAGAGACGGCGCGACGGACAGACTTGAAAGCAACGATATGACAACAAAGTTTTGGATGAATGTACACCACGTGAAATGTCCATGAGAAAACGTACACATCGGCGCCATCGTTGTCCTCGTGCAAGAGTCGACTGCGCCGCTTTTGGAGCAAGGACAGCAGCTGCAGGTAGTTGGAGAAGAAGTTGGTGAGGTTGACCGACACCTGGAATTTGGGCAAGAGTGGAGTGAAAGATCATCTTCACATTTGGGCTTTTTTTTGTTAATGCGCTTATGACTGCCGCCAAGCAATTTTACGACACGATGCACGAGGTGGGACCCCACTCCCATTGAATCATTTCGCAGCTTTGCTCGGATATACCCTCGAGTTCTGCTTCCTTATAGTGAGACGTGTGGTGACCATTTTACAAAATATGGGTCCTTTCCCTACACTAAAAACGAATGAACAAGATTGCAGCATAAAATCGGGAAGCTCAATAAGCCCGTATTAGAACTGGGTTGACCCATTCCGGCGTTATAGAGTTAGGAGTCTATTCCGGAAATTCATTTACCTCAGAATAACGCAGGTCAAGCTCAGCCTTGCTGGATTTTTCTTTAGCAGTCACAATTCTGGGAGTTACTGACTGAACCTGAGGGCAGAAAAGCCACGATTCATATCCGTCGTGTGTTTCAAAGGCAAACTTGTGCTTGAAATCACCTTTCTCAAAACTAACTGGAGAGTCTTCTGATCGCTCCACTTGAGTTGGTGGAGTTGTGACTTGAAGGAGGACAGGATATTTTCAATCAGCTCCTCAGCCTGCCAGACAACAAAGACGTCGGCTGGAAATATCTCATGTTCATGAGCTCCAAACGTCGGCGCAATGTCATCTCACCTCCCCACCGGGGACATTTTCTCCAAGCAGATATGCCAGTACGCCGTCGAAGCCTCGCTCGGTTTCCAGCACGCAGCGTTTCCAGCGAGGGGCTGTCGTAAAGACCTCACTCAAAGCGTCTGTCTTTGAGTCGAGATCGCGTTGCCTCACCTCTCCTTGGCCCAGAACCACTGACAAATTATTTGCCGTGTCCGAGAATCTGGAGTCCAGGGCGGGCAGGAAGGTGTGCAGCAAATTGAGCACCATGAACGTGTGGAGGGGGCCGCTGAGCAGAATGACAGCGTGTCCTGAGACTAAGCGGGGAAAGCGCGTGAGGTGGATGTGCACTGCGGGTCACTTACAGTACCTGGAGCTCAGCTCGTGGCCGTTCAGCCATTTGCTGATGATGCGAGACATCTGCACGATGTAAGGCAAGTTGTGCAGAAGGACGTGGTCGTCTTCCATGAGCGGCTGTGAATGGAAAGCGGCCTGCAAGCAACCCAACCAGTCGACAGCCGGGGCCTTACGCTGTGGAGACGCATCAGGAGAGATTGATACAACAGCACAGAAACCCATTGGCACTATTAAAGGGGGTAGAGTTCGGTGCCAGGGGGATTACCATAACCCAATTTTGTACCGTGGACTATCACCAACCGAACGCGGGAGGAAATTCATAGTAACCGGAAAGGTCCGGATGACAAAAATTTCGAGGAAATCATTTGAAACAATCAACGGGTGGCTGGACGGCCACCAAACGGACTGGCCGTTTGCAAAATTCCCAATCGGCACCCTGAATGGAAATACAGATCATTTGATTGTGTGCGTGAGCGCTCGTTACCTGGCATCGCGCTTCCTATTTTTGCTACCGATTGCCCGTCTAAAGCTCCAAAGTCCCTCAAGTAATGTCAAATAAAAGCGGTTGCAATGTAAATAGTGTTGCCGGGGGTGGGGGTGGGGTGGGGGTGTTGACCTGCAGCTCCTTGATGGTCAAGCGCTGATAGAGCTGCCCATTGGCCCTGCGATGGCTCAAGGGTGCCATGGCCACAGCGAGCTTGGAAGACAGCGAGATGAACGTGCCAATGTGGACCATGCTGCTGTCCGGCGGGGCCCCCAGCAGCGCCAAGTACCTATCGCACGAAGCGAAGAAAGGAAGCAGCGTCTATGCGAGGATGAGGAGCAAGAGTGCGTCAGTATCCCAACGTGGAGACACGCCGGCGTGGCGTTGAACCAACCTCCCTTGTAACTCGAGACGTCTTGGTCTCGTTGTTCCACTCGATCGGGATCAACAGGTCGGGCTGATCGATCTGACAGCGGAGCAACGGCGTCAAAACAACGCCACTTGTCCGTGGCATAGGAATATACAAGATGGACCTGGATGTATCGTCTGGTCGTCTCGTCGGACGCATTCGTGGGGTCTTCGCCGACGTAGACGTTGAAGAAGGGGAAGGTGGCGTAGTCTCTCATCAGCGCGCTGAGGGTGGAGTTGAAGTCGGTCTGATTCCACGGACCCGACACTGACCGCCCTCCAAGCTGCAGCCATAGAGAAAAAAAACACACAGGAAGTGGGAATGTAAGTGGGGGGGCGATGTGGAGCCTATCTCAGCTGTCTTTGGGCAGTAGGTGGGGGACACCCTGAACCGGTCTTCAGCCAATCACAGGGCACACAGAGATGAAAAACCATTCGCGCTCACACTCACATCTACGGACAATTTGGTGCTCAATCAGCCTGCCATTCATGTTTTTGGAATGTGGGAGGAAACCGGAATACCCGGAGAAAACCCACGCAGGCATGGGGAGAACATGCAAACTCCAGACAGGAAGGTCGGAGCTGGGATCGAACCCACGTCCTCTGCACTGTGAGGTCGGCGCGGGAACCACTAGCTCACCGAGCCGCCCCAGCACTTTCATAGTCATTTTTAAAAAGAATATTGTTTTCATTTTTCATAAAGATAGTAGAAATAAAATGATTTGAAAAGTGATTCGCTTCACAAAAAGTGATTTTAACGAGTCTACTGACATGACCCATTTAACACACACACACACACACACACACACACACACACACACACACACACACACACACAAAAATTGGTACAAACTCTGGAAAAATCCAGTGAATCTAATTTGCCCAAAACCTTTAAGATCTGCATTTCTTTAAAAAGTCAGTATGAAATGGTCACTGTCGAGCTCAGTCCTGGCACCAACAAAATGACTACCTGTAAAATGGCCTCTTGCTTGAACGTTTAGAATTGATTGCTACGATAAATAGTATCTCAAATTCCCTGTATGTTTGTGTCTATTTGAGGTATGGCACTTATTTACTCAAGTGGACAACGCTAGCGCTGTCAGAGAAGTACGTGGACACTTGGTCATGTCGCCCGACGTGAAAACCAAGGCCAAATAGGACATGTGTCCCAATACGTCGGTCGGTGTCGCGTGTCATTCATTGACTCACTTTGTGGATGAGTGCGAGGAAAGGCTCCTCTCCAGCAATATCCAGAGACTTGGTGTCCAAACAGCTGCGATAGAACTCTTTCGCTTTCTGCACAGCTGAACTTGCAAGCCCGTCATTTGATTCTGGAAATGAACACCATCCAGTGAAAAATCCCCGTTTCATTTGGGTCTTGTTTGAATCATCGAAAATGGCGCAAAACTCCTTACCCAAAATCTCCCTGAGGTACTGCAGCAGTTCCGTTTTTCTGTCCAGCGTCCTCTTCTCTTTGACATCTCTTCTGGATTTTCCTCTCTGGTGTCCCTGGACTTTGGATGGAGAAGGTCTGTCGGGTCCGCACGAGAACAGGAAGTAGTCGCAGGGGTGCGTGAAGGGGTCCGCGGAGATGGAGAGATGCACCGAGGCCTTCTGACAAGCTGGGGAGTTACAAGGGCTTACTACAAGGAAGGAATGGGAAAAGAATGAGACCAATGGCTGATATCTGCATTTGACGTGTGTGTGTGTGTGTGTGTGTGTTGGCCCACTGAGAACTTCCTGGTTTTGGTTCCCGCGACGAAGAAAGTGATTTATGTAGTAAACCATCCCAAGGAAAATGGCGCACAAACAGAAGCCCAAAATGACGACGGAGAGCGCACAGCCGCACTTTCTCCATGCCGGTTTAATTTGTTCAGCAGGTTGCTGGTACTCGAGGTCTTGTCGTCGTCGGAGTGGCAACTTCTGAAGCTCCAGCTCGGTTGGTGGCTGGGCCTCTGCGGGGTCTTGGCTGGGGAGTTTCAGCTGAAACAAAGCTGGGGTGGAAAGCCGCCTCTCAGGTTCTGGCTGTGATGACGGTTGCACTGATCGCTCAGGCTATGAAGTTGAGGAAACAAACAATCCTTGTTCAGTTGCAACAATGCTAGCTGCTGCCGCTACTTTCGTCCTCCGCCGCCAGTACTGTTTTATGAATATTTTGGGACGAGCAGCAATGGAAAAAGCTGAAGCTTGGCTCGCCCAATTGTGAATACATTTTATTCGGCCAACTTGTTTTCTTCAGGTTCTTGTTTGTTTTACTGGCTAGCGTTACTAGCATTTATGCTAAGTCCAGCACATTTACACTGTTGATTCTTGTGTTGATTAATGTGCACTGTCCCAATGAAATTTAAAAAAAAAAAAAAAAATAGGAATAAAAAATAGCACAGGACTTCTAAATGCGTATCAAGTGACTAACAGAAAAGACATCATGGTGTGCCCAAGCATGGTTGTCGGTAGTACAATGCCACAGCGACTGATTGTAATTTTGGTTTATATGACGAAAACCAAGGGAACTGGCTAGATATCAGATCTCACGAGCCATTTTTGTCATCATTACACTGGTCCAAACAAACGCATTTTTTGTTGCACCAGACAAAATGAACAAGAAACTGACGAGACAAGGATGGTCTAATAAGTTCTTCGATGACCAAAGACCGTTTCGCCTTGTCGGCTGGACATTTTGCTGCTCCATGGAGGATAAGAAGTGCAAGATGGCAGCAGATGGGTGCAGTTGAAAGTCCACTTTCAAAAACTAGATGCTAAAAACCTGAATTGGAGCGTGAATTAATACGTAGGTTAGCTTTGTTATTTGCCAAATTATGGAAGAGTCTCAATACCGTAGTATTTTGACGCCGAGTTTTTTCTGTCAGGGGGTGCTGGCTGAAGGAAGTTGTTTATCATGCATATCCTTTGTTAGGTTTACTTCTATTATGGTCAGGGAAGGCCGTTGCCAGATTTCTTCAGGTTCTTGTTTGTTTTACTGGCTAGCGTTACTAGCATTTATGCTAAGTCCAGCACATTTACACTGTTGATTCTTGTGTTGATTAATGTGCACTGTCCCAATGAAATTTAAAAAAAAAAAAAAAAAATAGGAATAAAAAATAGCACAGGACTTCTAAATGCGTATCAAGTGACTAACAGAAAAGACATCATGGTGTGCCCAAGCATGGTTGTCGGTAGTACAATGCCACAGCGACTGATTGTAATTTTGGTTTATATGACGAAAACCAAGGGAACTGGCTAGATATCAGATCTCACGAGCCATTTTTGTCATCATTACACTGGTCCAAACAAACGCATTTTTTGTTGCACCAGACAAAATGAACAAGAAACTGACGAGACAAGGATGGTCTAATAAGTTCTTCGATGACCAAAGACCGTTTCGCCTTGTCGGCTGGACATTTTGCTGCTCCATGGAGGATAAGAAGTGCAAGATGGCAGCAGATGGGTGCAGTTGAAAGTCCACTTTCAAAAACTAGATGCTAAAAACCTGAATTGGAGCGTGAATTAATACGTAGGTTAGCTTTGTTATTTGCCAAATTATGGAAGAGTCTCAATACCGTAGTATTTTGACGCCGAGTTTTTTCTGTCAGGGGGTGCTGGCTGAAGGAAGTTGTTTATCATGCATATCCTTTGTTAGGTTTACTTCTATTATGGTCAGGGAAGGCCGTTGCCAGAGCCAAGAGACACTTCCTGATACCGTGGTAAATAAAAGACCCGACATAGCCTGCGCTAGACATACACAACAAGATTTTCTGTCCTACCTGAAGCCCTCTTGGCGTTTCACTCATTCTCAGCGTTTGGACGTCTTGCTGCGTTTCTCTGCCGGCGGAGTCCATCTTTTACATTTGATGTCTTACATATGTGTTCCAGCTTCAGCGCCCCCCACCCAACTACCACCACCTCCACCTCCGTCACACAGCTGTCATCTCAGTTCTTTATCTGCCGTTATCACTGAGGTCTTTTTCTTGCCAGCCTGATAAAAAAAAGAAGACACCACCACCACACACACAAACCCCCCAAAAAACACTCCCCTGCACATATACACTCCAGACAGTATTTTCAGTGAATGGCTGGGTACTTTCAGGACACATTGCGGTTGATGAAGTGCAGACAAACAAGGCTCCAAGATGCCACATTGGATACGCCTGTTTATAGATATCAAAGGCCTGGCAACAAAACAGCGGACGGACAAATGCAGGCCAATCAACGGCTTTTGATTATTGTTGCACGCCAACAAATTATAGAATGTAAACAGTCCAAGATGAGCACACACGCGCACAGTCGTCATTATCAGCGCATCACACAGCTGCTGGCGACTGATACGAGACTTGTGGGGTCCACCAACAGCGCGGTGCGTTTTCGTCAACGGGGGAAGGTGGGGAAATACGTTGTGTGCGTGTCACAAAGACACTTTGTGCACATGGCTACGTCATGAAAGAAAACAAAAAACATCCAACGTTTTATTCATTTATTCTTTTGAACGGGGGCGGGGGGGTAAATGTTTCTTTGACACATAAATTCATACATATCAAACAGTTGCTTGTATAAAAAAGGGATACAAAAAGGACAAGGCAACATCACAGAGGATAAACATAGGCATCGTCAGAAGTATTTGAGCACGCAAAGGCATTTAAAACTGTCGGTGCAGAAGCCCATCTAATAATACTTGAGGAATACCGGCACCTACAGTACGCAGCGAGCATGCAACGCGAAGTCACTAACTTGTCATGTTTTCCCGCACCGGATTCGGTGAGGAATGAATGTCGATGGTTGTTACCCGGCGTCCATTGTGATGAAGGCACAAACGCCGAGCTAGGAGTGAGGACATACACTTTGTCAAGAAATACAGTACGATAAAAAAAATAATTCAGAAGCAGAAATGGTGAATAATGGAAGATAATGGATGTAACCTTAAGAGGAGATTAAGGTCAAAATACGGGGCTCAAAAATGAGTATGTGATATTTATAAAAAAAAAATTTTTAAAAAGCTTCCATAAAACAGCGCCTAAATATTTGGTCACTATGCTCAAACGTGTTACCTTAAAAGTTTTAAAGCTAGTTCCTAATGATAGGACATCAAACTTAAGTAGGAATTTAAAAAAATAATAATCAAAAAGGTCCATATATTATGTTAGTTAAAGCAAAGAAGTTCTCTCATGCGATGCAACAGAAAGACGGCGCCTACAATTGTGTGCTTAACGATCAAGACAAATTTCAGGAATAATCACGTAACAGGTCCTGTTTGGAGGCATGCTGGTGACACTTTGAGCTACAAGATGAGATCCCCGGAACGGAATCTGCGCTGCTCAAGCTTTGCTCGGCTCACAGCACGCGTCCAAGAGATGAACGTGGCTCTGAACTGGTTTGTGAATTAAGTGTTATCGAGGAGGGCCGCATTTGCTGAGGTCCCCAGCCGGCAGCCAAACTCAAGTGGCAACGAACAAACAGGAGGCTCCTGCTGAGAGAACCGACCGTACGCGTTCATCCTTATAGGCCACGAGAGCAGCAGCAGCAGCAGATGGAGCGATCCCAACGGGACGGGACTGCTCTCTTGATCCAAGCAGTCTGTGCAAGATAACGCGGAGCATTTTGTAGCATAAACATATGGCAACGAGAAGGCTAAAAATCGACATTAAGAGATCTGCGGCGGTGCAGTACATTACCTCTGCACTAAAGTGGATCGAACGAAGACGAGAGGACGCAGCACAACATGCAAAAAAAACGCACCCTGGTTTCACGTGGGACATTCACACGGAACACTGAATAAAGCCCTGTGTCGCAAAGGCCGAGCGCTGAAAGGAACCCGCGCTTTTGGATTTGGTTCAGATTTAAGCGGAAAAGGGGCAGGGAGTGGGGAAGGGTTGGGGTGGGGGTGGGGGGCAGCTACAGGTTCACTGCGCCGTCTAATTGGCTCGCTTGGCGTGGCACTTCATACACAAGATGCGACCATCCAGCGGGTAGCAGCCGTTCTCATCCGCTTCTATGGAGAGAGGGCGAGCGCAGTCCTGAGGAAAGCAACACAACACGGAATCCAACGTCAACCTTATTTTCCAACGTCCATACTAGAAGCCTTGGCAAAAGTTATGAAATGAGAGGATGTTCATTCGGGTGTTCGCATTTGGAGAAATGGAGCAGATCACAAACATGTCGATGACATAAAACTAACGTTCTTTCGAATGAGAACTTTCAGTAACCGGGACATTTTTAGACCAAGCAATTATGGAATCGCAATGGAAATTTCCATTCCCCGGCATCAAATTAGATCTGCTCATTGGTCTGCAGTTAAACAGGAGCGATCACACTTTTAGAGAGCTGTTGCACCAAGTGGACTCGCACAAATGAATCATGGTTCCAGCACCAGAGATGTCAATTGAAACAGAGGAGAGGCTTATCAAATTTCTTTATGAACACCTTACACCAACACGACTCATAAAAAGATCCGGATATTTGGCTTTCCCATGAAATTTATGGAAATTGTAAAAAGTTCAAGCTCCGGTGACATCACATCCTGAAAGGAGGACATTTAAGTGGAAAGATGCACTGGTGATTTCCTCATCTCAAGCAAGGCATGAAAAGAAAAGTCAACAAGAAATGGCGGGTACATCGCAACAAAAAATGTCAACGTCTCAATAACTCGTCATGTGCCCTTGAGCATCAATTACAGCCTGACGACGACGTCTCATGCTATTGGCAAGGCGACTTATTGTCTGCTGACGGACGGCATCCCAGGCTTCTTGTAGGGCAGCACTCAGTGGCAGGACGACCGCTTCAACACCAGTTCAAATTGAACCAGGACATTTTTATTGGCCGACTCAAGGGTCAAATGCCCGTTGTGAATTTAAGCTTAGAGAACAGGAACGTGTGCAAAAAGTACTGTAACGTTTCACAGCTGGACATGGTGCTAAGAAAAGGTCACATTGAGTTCACCTGTAAAAGTTTGAATGCATTTCAAGCTCGTCCTGAAATTTCACCCGAAAGCCAAACATCCCGCACTTTTTGTGAGGAGGGGAAGAGGGGGGGACTACATGAGAAATAACTTTGGAATGCCATCTTACTTCGCAGCGGTAACACTTGAGATGGAAGTTCTTGTCAAGCGCGACGACTCTGACCGTCTCCTCGCTGCCCGGCGCTGGAATAATGGGCTCGTTGCAGCTCACACACAGCGGGGAGAAGCGCCTGGAATCCAAAAATAGTCAACTCAGTGACATCTGCACATGCCGCCTGGTTTGCGCTGCCCAGCTGCTCATTTCATCGCCGATTTACTTTTGCGCCTCGTCGGTATGCATGAGAATGGCGGCAATGTGCACCTGTGGTAATCCTGGACGCAGTAGGGGTTGTTGTTGTCGTCGGTGATGAAGGGCGCCCCCTCCAGGATGCAGGAGCAGGTGCTGCAGCGGAAACAGTGCGAATGGAAACACTGACCGACGGCCTTCAGCACGCGGTCCGTGATTCTCTCCCCGCATCGGGAGCACACCGCCAGGGAATTCTGAGGAGGAAAACACATCAAGTTTGTTTCGATGACAACGGTGCCTTCCTTTTTTTGCTTTTTGTTTTCTCTGTACGGCAAAGCCCCACAAGATTGTCGGTCATCGGTCTCACCCTGACTATTACGCAGGTTTTTAAGATAAAATAAATAAATAAATAAATATGAACCATGTATCAAAGAAAGAGTGTATTGTATTTTTTTGTTGGCTTGCCAGGGGGGAAAATATTTGTGACAAGTGTGTTACAAGGGGACTTAATTTCACGGACGTGATGAAATTCGTGTGCACAAACTTGGAAAGGGGTGTATATTTTCCAATTAATCGGCCGATTCATCAGTTATCAGAATTTTATTCAGCCAAATATGGCAATGGCCTCAGACTCCTTGTTGTTGCAACTTTGCCAAAATTAATGATTTTTTAAAAAAAAAAACTAAAATTCACACGATATTCTATACAAGGCAGAACTGGTCCTCTCACCATGTAGCATTCCTCGCACTCAGGGGCGCCATCCCTGTCGTAGAACTGCATGCCCTGAAGGGGACGATGACATGTAACGCAACAGAAGCAGTTGGAGTGGAAAAGTTTCTCCATGGCTCGCACGGCCGGCTGCGTGCGGGACAGCGCCTCGCCACACTTGCCGCAAACGTCTGAAACGAACGTGGAGTCGGGCCGACAAGTCAGTCAGATAAGACACGACATGAATATTTGTTGCGTCCAGTAGTTTGGTGAAGACGTCGAGCGCGTACCGGTGAGAGGGGCGGGGCCGACGGGTGGGTGAGCATCCATGTTTTTAATGAAGTCCTTGGTCATTCGCTCCAGCTCCTCCACTTCCTTCATGTTGAGCACTACGCCGCCTCCTGAGGTTGACGCCGGACCAGGGGGTGATGGCTGCCCACACAAAAGCAATGCATTGGATCTCATTATTTTTCTGTTTCTTTGCACTCAACCGAGTTGATTTGTGAGTAAATTGTGTAGAGGTCATTATTTTCAATAGGAGAGAATTTGTGACTTTTTTTTGGTATGCTGGGGCGTGTTTCGAATGGAAAGTACTCTGTGTTTTGGCGCGATGAAAGTTGGGAAACGGTTGTTCCTGAAATTGCTGTGCACGCCGTCATCATGGGGGAACCGGCCCTTTAAGAAATGCTCTTTTTTTCAGTCTTCAATGGAGGCTCAAACAGTTTCAATATTGACACCAAATATGCACCTTTAGATTTCAGAACTGTCGTCGAATTATGTGTTGATAGTTGTTGTGAAGCTTAGTGACATGTCATTTGACTTAAAACCTCTTAGAAATTTGAGCTAGAGATGTGAAACAGTTGACAGCCAGCTCGCTAACTAATTTTGCGAAATAAAATTTCACAGAGTGCTCATGAGAAGCTAACATTTTTTGGGGTGTTCCACCCAGTCATCAAGCTCATATTTTGCAGTTTGCATGCACAAAGAGTAAAATCAGGTTCAAGGGAATATTTCAGCATGTTTTTGAAAGCACCTTGTGCACGCAAGCGCACACGCGTGCTGAACATACCGAGGCTGCTGGGGGAGATTTCATTGGCTGATTGAAGGAGGAGGGTGGAGGCGAAGCCACGGTCTTAGTTTGGGGAGGAGGCACGGCGGCGGGCGGGTTTTGGTTCTGACTGACGTACTGAGGACTCTTCACGTGATTGGCGGCCATGTTGTTTGGAGAAGCAACAGGTGCAGGCGGAGAGGCTGGAACTGCGGGGAAAGTGTTGGCGCCTGTTGCGGGGGACGTTTTCGGCGGACCGCCGCCCGAATAAGGAGACTGGTTCAGGTTCTGGTTGAGTTTTTTCGCCAGTGATGAAGACGAGGTGGTTATTCTTGCTCCAAATGGGGACTTGGCCACCGGTGGTGGGGGTGAATTGTGGTTGCCCTGTCGGTTGGTGCGGGCTTTCAATTCCTCTGCCCAGGGCGCAGGAGGCGGACGGTCTCCCATCTCGGGAGGGGGGAGGAAAGAGAGGGCTGGCTTGGGGGCTGTTGGTGGGGGCCCGGCTGGCTTGGGTGACGGTGCATTGGAGGATTGGTTCGGCAACTGGAAGAGGGGAAAAAAAACAAAAACTTTCACATCCCCTTCAGTTCATAAAGCAACTAAACTATTTAAAGTCCCTCAAAGTGTCTTGTGAACACCACTGCCAAATATGAATGACCGAAAAGAAGTCCATACAATAAGCCTCAGAGGGGCTGGACGTGCGGACAGTCACTGATGACAACGAGGCGCTCTGAATCGGCCGCTAGCTGACTGTTTGAAATCAGGTTAGAGGCATAGCTAGCTAGACAACGGCATGCACACCAGATAACCGCTGATGCAAATGCCGTCGCCGAAGTTCTCTTGTAGTGGGGAAGCAGCGATGCCATTGCGTAATACAGTCCACACATTTTTCACCAGTTCTCTGTAAACATGTGAAAAGGGCCTTTAAATACAAATCACTGAATTCCTTAAAAATAATAATAAAAAAGTTTAGATAATGCATCACCAGAAGAGGGTCATATAAGGCGCCACAACGGATCAACAGTTTTGAATGAAGCGCTACAATCAAGTAAACGGTCCACTTCATGTTTGGAGCTTCTCGATAGGGCTCCAGCTTTCTGACATTTATTTTGTGGATTCGGAGCAAACATTATTCTGACCCGGTTGTGCATCTCCCGCTTGGACTAAACACACTCCATTTATGGACGTCTCCCCGAGTCTTTGGCAGCACATTCTGGCTCCATCGCACTCTCACGCTCTACTCGGTGTGCAACGTTCCCTGCAAGAGTCTCTCTCACTTTTTTTTATTTATTTATTTTTTTTGTGCCAACCCAAATGTGCTGTGTGTGCAGTTCACTTATCATTGAGCATTCCACCTGAACTGAGACTCATAAAAGCAGACCTGGCATAACTCCAAATTATTTCCACTGACCGACCAGCCTTTGTTCTGCTTCCTTCCTCGGTCCGAATCTTTTTCTAGACTCATCATTTTTTAATCCAAGTTTTCACCGTCACCTCGGCTTTGGTACCTTTGGGTTGAAGGGCCCCCGCGACTCCATTTCTGAAAGCATGTTTGTAAGAGAGTCGATCTGCTTATCGAGGCTTGTTTGCTTGGCCATAGTTCTCTGTTAGAGGTTGAAAGGGGGGGAACACACACAGAGCATTAATACACATAAAAAGGACTAGGATGAATCAAATACTGTACAGATCATTGTTAGGTGATAATCAAGAAACCATTGAGTCTAAATAATCAAAGCTAGCTTAAGACTAATGTCAGGAAAAAAAGATGTAAATATGATTTATGACGAGAGTGAAGAAAGGCATTTTGAATGTGACTATTCAATGATGTCATTCGTCATCATGAAGCAGCAGAGACAAACGGCATGGAATACGTTTCAGCAAAGTTATTCCAGTCATCATTTCAGCCATACTTTCTTCACCTTGATTGAAATATGCACTTCTATATTATTCATCTACATTAGTAATGCGCTTGGCTGGCAACCATTTTAGGTGATGACAGCTGGGATAGGCTCCAGCACGCCCCGCGATCAGAAAATGGATGGATGGATCTACATTAGTTTTTTTTTTTTTTTTTTTTTGCTGTGCTGTGGCCTCAGTGTGTATCTGCAATAAAGTTTGGACTTGACGAGGGGCCCATCAAGGCTTACCTGCGGGTGCCCAACAGTGGCGGCGGGTGGAGGTGGCCGGGAAGGCCGGTGGGGGGGCGTCCGAGGCGAGAGGTGTGATCTGGCATTCGGGGGGAGGGGCCGGCAAGTCGTCATCCATTGGAGGAGGAGGAGGAGGGGGTGGGAAATCTAGGGACAATACGGAGGGGGTTCAAATGAAATCACATACTGCAACAGCCAAGGTCAAGGACATGTGGCATCACCGTGCCGACGCCCATTGGGAGGCAGGAAAAACAGGCGGGCGGGATTTCGGCGGCTGCGGATATGCTGATTATATCATAAGGTGAAGGCTATTTCAAATTTTTTTCCCATCCATTTTTGGGAGGGAACACTGCTACTATCCTTCACAGACATTCATAACCCAGAAGCCAAGATTAGAGGAAAAGACAAAACCCCTGCAGAAGGTTCAACATGACGCGAACTTCTGTTATCGTTTGCTCTCAAATTCACCTCTCAGTTCACGCGAGGGAAGGGGGCTAATTTACACAACCACTTCATTATTTGTGTTGACTATCAAGTTAATTCTCACAACCTGCTGCTAATCAATTCTTTCAAGTCTTTATGACTCGTAAAGGCGCGTTGCGGCATGTTTCGCCACTCGCTGCACACGGTCATGCGCGTTCTCGCCCTTGGGTTCAAATCTCCTGAATCTGTCCCGATTGGCTAAAAAGTCATACAAACGCTCGACACAATACGCTCCAAAAATCTCAGATACCATCACAGAGTGAGGGCGGCAGCGGGGGCAGATCTCCGACACGTCCAATCACGCCCGTGCCCACAGGCATCGGCGTTGGCGACGGCGCGGAGGGCGGCGTCAGGCTCTTGGGCCGCGGCGGGGCCACCGAGGCAAACTTCTTTGGCTGGTTGTAGAAAGACGGCGTGGTGACTTTGAAGTTGAGGGACGACGTCACCATAACCGGCTTGCTGCTACCGGAACTCTCCATCTTCCACAAATTGACCTGAGGATGATCAGACACACCACATTTACACACGAAAAACATAATTTGCTGTTATAGGATGATGACTTCTCATTATTAATACTACCATATTTTCCGCTCTATAAGGTGCTTCGGAGCATAAGGCGCACCTTTTCTGAATGGCCTATTTTAAAACTGTTTTCATATATGGGGCGCATCGCATTATAAGGCGCATAGAATAGAAGCTACAATAGTGGCTGCAGTTATGCATCCACTAAATCGAGCTATGCTAAAGGGAATATAATGCAATACAGCTTTATTTATATTGAGCTTTCACAACCGCTGCAGCTGGAACAAAGCGCTTTACAGAACATTTTAAATACTGCATCCAAGAAATCAGAATATTAATCCACATATAAGGCGCATTGGATGATAAGGCGCTCTATCGGCTTTTGAGAAAATGGAATGCTTTTAGGTGCGCCTTATAGTGTGGAAAATACGGTATATATATTTTTTATAAATACAGCGCTAACTTGACTGTCGCCACTCCCAGTCCAAGCTAACTTTAACACAAACACCACATTACTTTGTCTGCCAATACAAAAAGTCATAAACAGGCTAATGAAACGAGCATCGCAGTTGTGACACTAGAACCCTTCAAGTGACAGATATTTAAACTAAAAATGGTGCATCACCACATGTAGACATACAATATAACAATCGTTAACTAATTCATGTCACTAAGGCAGTAACAGGAGTTGGGAAATGCTTCTTCATTTGTGTCTGTGTGATTGGATCATACTACCCCCCCCACCGCCAAATCACGAGCAACAAAATGACACGCATTGATTGACATGATGATGTCACAGATCGAATTGCACTTGTTTCCCAAGGCACCTTTTTGACCCTTTCACGCACCAATAATGATCACCTTTAACCTGATAACACGATCAGATGTCGGCCGTTGTAACCGCTGTCTAACTTTAAGGGGTTAAAGACTTCAGGTCTTGCGAGATTTGGCGACACTTCCTGCGGCAACATTCATGAAGATGGTTTGAACTCGGGGCCAGACCGATTCATCGGCCAGCTGATTCCATCCACCAATATTGAGCTGTTAAAATCATCCGATTAGTCAGGTAGTTTTATTCTGCCGACAAGCCCAAAATGGCATTCCAGATTCTGTGACAAGAGCCCGGGCAAAATGGACATCGGCGTAGTGACAGAAAACGATTTTGCCCATCAGAGCGGATGTGGCTCGCGCAGACTGCAGCATCAGCTTACGATATTCATCACATACTTGTTTATGGTGACATCAAGCAGAGTTGTCCCAGTAGGGTCACGGATCTATAGCCAACGATACCGTGCGAGGTGCGTCAAGCAAAGCGGCTCAAGTATTTCCCTCACGCGTGCTTTGATGTTAAACAAATGTTGAACATACTGCCACGTCTTGACAGAGATTCCGCACAATGTCTGAGCCTATTTCCCCACAGCCCACCGCTCCCAAACATGACCTTTAGTCAAAAGGACCGTTGTTCCGCTCACACGCAAATAAAAGTCATTTCTCCAAACACACGCAACACTCGTCAACCCTTTTTTCAAGAACGCTCGGTTCCGCAAACTGCCGTTAACTGAGGATGAGCCGACACCTTCTTCCCAAATTGATTTTGCTGCACTGCAATCTCCTGCACCTGAAGAATAGCACAAATAACTTTGGTTGTGTAATTTGCAATTATTTTTTTGTCAAGGCACACAAGCTACACTTACAAGTTCTGACAAGAGTAAAAAAATTAATAAAATAAAAAAACCCAGAGAGCTCGACGAGGATTGAATAACAAGTTTCCCTTGATGCAAACGTTTTTTTTTTGTGATTGTACAAGTGAATGCATCGGGCTTTGAGTTGCCTGAGAAAGCACGGAGAATGATGAACAGTTTGAAAAAGTGAACAACTTTCAGGCGTCTGCTCAGAAGTTAAAAAAATAAACTAAGAAAACGTCGACTAGAACATCTGAACTTTATTTGTGGTTAATAAGAGGCTCTTTTAAATGTCATCAGGTTTGTGCTGACTCCCGTTTGAATGTGATTGGTTGATTATGAACAAAACTACGAGAGGGTGCGCACACTTCTATGCGGCCACGTTGTTTTTTTTTCCGTCTTTTTCTTTCATTTGACTTGTTTTATGGGTCGCAATGATGGAAAATGTTCAAGTGACCTTGGTCTCATTTTTGGGCGGTTGAACCGTGGGTGACGCCCCACGCAAAACAACGCGGTAAAGTAACAGAGCGAGCAAGTCGAGTGACGATCCACAAAGGTGTCGATGTGCCTCGGGGATGTCCAAGTGTGAGATGACGGATTTATGGCGCTGATACCGTGGCCAGCTTTCACAAAGCCATATTTCAGCTTTTTCCGTCATTTTTATCGGCGTGGGCAAGGAGGGGCATTGTTTCGACTATGTTCCCTCTTTTTCGACTGGACAGGGTCTGTTTTTCATAAAATTAATGGGGTGGGGGCGGGGGGGGGGACATGTCATGTTAATATGACAACGGTGCTTTGTGAGTAAAAACAGGAAAAAAAAGGAGGTCTCAAAGGGGAAGTGGAAGCGAAAAGGCCCATGTCACCATTTCCTTGTCAACACCCATTTTATGAACGTCTCATTTGTCAATCATTCGGTTTCTGTTTCACCGTTTCATATTCATCATATGAAAGAAATGGTCATTTTCATATTGACAAATATGGTCTGATATACATTCAGCGACATTATTGGTATGAACTTGCTTTAGGGCTGCAACTAACGAGTTTGATGGCCAGGTACAGTAATCTGTCAAATAATCGGGTTAAAGGAAATATCCTTGGATTTCCATCCCTTTATTCAAAAACAGAGCAGGATTTCAAAAATGCGATAATCCGTCTGCTTTTGTGGAAGACAACAGAAATTCTATAGAACAATGTAAAAACAACTACCAAAGGTAAATGCAAGTGGGAATGTTGTTTGAAATGTGTTGTTCTGTGCGACTTTTCAGTTGAATAATTTTTTTTTTAAAAAAAAGGCCGTGCATATCACATTCAAAACAGCATTGGTTGCAAATGGCCGTGGGCTACGAACAGAAAACGGAGCCCAGCGTCAAACGCAGCGTGACACACGCGGGTACAAAATGGGTACGAGCGATACTTTGGTTTCCAAGAGCGCCATTGGTTCTCTCAATATTTCATGTCCATGAACGTGCGCCGAGAGGTTTGGCACAGTGACATCAACTCCAACCTCGACCCCGACGCAGCTAATCTATCCTGAAACGTGATCCTCGGGATGTGAGCGGGACCGTTGGCGGTGGAGAGAAATGTTGCATTACAGCACAATGACATCACCTTCTGCGCCGTTTTGTCTCCCCCCACGCCCCCCCCCCCTCCACACTCGTCGTCATCCCCCAAAGCAGCCTCCATCTGTGCTGACTTAAGCTTTGCATTAGCCAAACGAGGAACTCTCTTTGCTAGGGCTGATCTCATCCATCATATTTTTATACCCCCGCAGTTCCGCTCTCACTTGAACTGAAAGCCGCCAGTTGCGGCGTGACACTCTTCAGTTCCCCGTTCCAGCTGTTACGTACGACAACATGACATCGTCTCGCCGCAGAGCTGGAGCCCAAACTGTATGCCGCTAACTACCTCTCTGATGCTCGCGTGCCTTCGACATGAGCCAATCGCTCGGGACGATGCATGGCAAGAGCGTTCATACGACAAAAGCATTAGGCCGCGCGAGACGGAAAAGGGCAACAGGGCTGAGACACTCGACTGCATCGCTCCATAATTATTGCAACTTTCAAACTTGGAAATAACAAGTGCAAAGGCATACGCGCGATTGATTATCTGTGGGAACGCTCAGCTCGTGGGAAGTTTTCCCTGGATGAGATTAATGTGATGATGAGTTAGTAATTAGGTACAGGGTGCTCTCAAAGTCAAAATACGTCTCCATTTTTTCTGCATCCTTTCAGGTATCATCGGGACAGATGCGATGCCAACAACATTTGACGACATCGGCTTCAGATTTTCGAAGCACATGGTTCCTTTGTCCACACGGGGAGCAAGCAGGATTCCGGCATCGCTAGCCGGCAAAAAGTTTTTCTGTCCTCGACTGCCGTTTAAGCGGCACTTTGCTTCGAAGAGCGACAAAGCTTGATCTGGAGCAACTTGATCTTGTTGAGCATGATCATCATCC